GACCTTCACTAAAGTTTCATTGCTAGATAATACGAATTCACTGAGTAGTCATCACATCTAGGACCCGGGTTGACATTGAAACCTAAACCCGCTATACTACGCTTTAGGAAGTGGTTTCACTTGGCCATTTTCTAGAGTGACAGTAGGAGTGAGTCAATTACAAGACTTTTTCCTAGCATATATTGACGATATCAGTATCTTCTCAAATAAAGATAGGAAAGATCATGAAGAAACAATAATCAAAGTATTAGAAAGAATAAAAGAAAAAGGACTAATAATTTCAAAAAAAATCAAAACTATTAGTTAATGAAATTGAATATCTAGGACTAAAAATAAATAGTACAGGCGAAATAGAATTAACAACAAATGTTAAAGAAAAACTAGATAAATTTCCCGATAAAATGGAAAATAGAAAACAAATACAAAGATTTTTAGGAAGTTTAAATTATATTAGCGAACAAGGATTTCTAAAAAACTTAGCAAAAGAATGAAAACACCTTCAGCAAAAAATATCAGACAAGATATCTTGGAAATGGGAAGATAAAGATATATAAGTAGTAAAATTCATGAAGGCTAGTTGTGATCATTTACCTAAATTATATAACCCATGTGATCGCGATTTTCTCATAGTTGAAACAGATGCATCCAAGGATACATGGGCAGGTTGCATGCTCGCAATTCCCGAAGGAAAGAAATTACTATCTCTTGATCACTATGGCAATTTACTATCACAAAATGAATCAAATGATTCATCTACCAACCACAATGATAAATTACTATGTAAAGAATCGAAAGATTCTACATACTGCTCAATAACTTTTAATACAGACAAGTATCCAAAAAAGTTATGTAAATATATTTCAGGAACATTGTCTGATACAGAGAAGAACTATCCAATTCATGAGCTAGAAACACTAGCTTGTCTCAGGACATTGAAGAAATGGAAACTCGAATTGTTAACAAGCAGATTTGAGTTACGAACAGACTCCAAATATGTTACAGGTTTCTGGAGATACAAACTTGAAGCAGACTTTAACAAAGGAAGATTAATCCGTTGGCAGCAACAGCTACACTATTATAAGCCATATCTGAAGTATATTAAGTCAACAGCCAACCCTCTGGCCGACACCCTTACAAGAAAATGGAGGGAATAATCAAGCAGATTCAGAATCAGCAACAACAAAAGGAAGAACAAATACGATCTCTTGAAACTCAGCTTTCTCTAAGGAGGGGGGAACTAGAACAGCTCAAAACCACCATCACCATTCTGCAACAACAAATCAATGGAAAAACTCGGCCAGAAATACAACAAGAGAAATCAGCATCGTCATCCACAAAATGGGCAAATCTGGTAGAAGAAGATGAAATATATGAAGAGGATGAAAGAAAGTCAAAGAAAGGAAAATGGTATGTCATTTATGATGGACCATTTCGAGGAGTTTATAGCAGTTGGGCAATAGCTGCTCAGCATATTATCGGTCATAATGTTAAACACCAGTCATTCACAACTAAGGAAGAAGCACATCAAGCACTTGACGAATCATACAAAGCTCTTACCATGAAGAAAACAAATGAGCTGGTCGTTCCACAACAACGACTAGTAATGAAGATTCTTGGTATTAACATTAGGAATATCCAGACCACAAAGGAAAAAGAAGAAGCCAAAAGACCTACAATACAGAAATTTCAACAATGTTGGAATGATCTTATCAACTATGAAGAAATACATACTACCATGGGTTTTTATCCAACATTCAAAGGAGGACCAAAAGCGGTAGTCACAGAAGAAGCCTCACCAGCAATGGTATTCGCTCTCCACCAATATGGATTATTGGATACCATTTACACCAGAAAAGTTGACATCCTCGACGAATTCCCCATTAAATTCAAGATGGTTGTTCAAAACTATCTGAAATTCTTTGCCAAAGATAGAGAAATCTATCTAAAGTATACATCCAGCTATCCAGTATTCAGCCAAGGAGAAATGATTATACCATCAAAAGCCCTCATAAGAATGGGAGTCTCAAAAGGAAAATATCCAACAAGGGATGAACTGAAGACAGCTAAAATACTAGAAGATCATCAGGTGAAATCATTATTCTCAGTATGCCAAGCAATCCATTACATCAAACCAACGGATAATATCAAGGTCAATTACGGAAGTGAACATAAGATGATCATCAGCAACTCCAAGGCACAATTCACCAAGGAAGAATGGGATATAATTACAAATTTGACAAGAGATTTATCAATCTAGAAGGAACATTGGCCCCATTACCAACAGAACAGAAGAGACAACTGTGCGAATTATTGCAACACCACAAAGACCATATCTGCATCAACTGTGCAACAGACATGATCACCACCACTAGCAGCAATAATGGAGAGGAATAGTCAGGGAATCAAGGATGACTCATCCCACTAAGAAAAAGGAAGAGAAGAAGACAAGGAATAGTCACTCCACTAAAAAAGATGAAAGCTCATACCATCACTTCTCTTCACAAATATAACTATCTAGCTTTGTAAAAGGTTGTTTGTTTGTTTTCCCACCTGTTGGAAGGTGATGTAAGCTCTTACATAGAAGCAGGCTAAGACCTGCTATAAATATGTATCATATTCCTCATAAGGAGGGCAGAGAATAAACGAGTAGAGTTGAGATTTCTCTTAAAAACCAAAACTTCGTCTTGAGGTGCTTAGGCACTGAGTGTTTGAGGTAATACTCTGGAGACACTCTTATCCCCTATCAAAAATACCACACAAAAAAATCATCAGACCTACAAAAACTCCTAAACATAACTCCAAACGATCATCTCCAGCATTTTTCACATAGCATCACCATGAAGACGCTAAGCAACAAGAAATCAAACCATTTCAACTAACAAGAATTAGGTATGTCTGACAACCCTAGTACTAGTAAAAATCATTTTGATTATTTAAACAAGAATGAAGAAGAAAATTATTTCTTAGATGGTATCGTAGATATCAAAAAAATAAAAGAGCAAACTAATTTTACTTTATCGGAAACCCAAAATTTCATCACTAAGTCATTTTTATCTAAATTATTTGATAGAAAAAATATAATTAAATATGGAAAGATGATAGGAGAAACAACTATACCAATAGAACATACCAAATGAGATTTTCTAATCTAAATAATAAATAAGGAACAAATTAGAAAAAAGTTATCAAAACTACAACAGGAAGAACGAAATAGAATAGTTTATATTCATATTAGTACAATACAAATTATTTTTAAATCAACAATGAAAACAGGAATAAGTGCGCCAATAGAACTAGAAATAAGAGATGACAGACTCATTAACAATGAAGAAAGCATAATAGCAAAAGGACAAGGAAATTTAGGAGTATGAATAATTAAATTTGATATTAATTTACAACAAGGTTTAAGTCTAACAGATGGAAATCTTGATTCCTCAATAATTATAAAATATGAACTTCAAAGAGACAATTTTATGAGAGAAAATAGTAAACCATTTTCAGTAACATATCAAATAAACTACGCTTTGACCAATAGTCATCATAGTTTAACATTCAAGGATAAAGAAGTAATTACCATAGAAGATTTATTTAAACCACTAATATATTTAGAATCCCCTATAAAAATAATTAAATCGGACTATAGTAATCCATGAATTAGCATAGACGAACGACATCCCTCTAAAAGAATAACAAACAAGTTAAAAGAAGAAGAACAAGAAGAAAAAGAAGAGATAAGAAATATTACGATACTTCATCAATATGACGACAATAGTGAAATAAAGAAACTACAAGAACTAAACGTAAAATTAAAGGATAAGATATAAATACTAGGGCAAATACAATATATTAGCCATAACTATTAAGCAACGGGGAATTATAACCACAACTATCGAAATACAAATTATTAGCCAATCGTTAAGTTTTCGTTAACACTTCTGTTAGTAATGATGACTAAGCTTTTACGATGGTGAGCTGGCTCCCACGTGGTAGTCATCATATCATATTTTTTACGATGCTGACATAGCCTTCTACGTTAAAAATTTGAAAACAGTAACAGGCTGTTAGCCAAATCTTGACCCACAGCAATAGTTATGACTAATAATTTGTATTTCGATAGTTGTAGCTATAATTCCCCGCTACTTAATAGTTATGGATAATATATTGTATTTACCCTAAATACTATAATGCCTAATACTCGCCATATAAATAAACTAATAGAAGGAATAGACGCTATCGGTCTTACTTCAATAAACGATATCACTATGGTTACACTAGAACTATCATACTTTGTCTCAGATATTGTAGAAGAACAAATGAGTATCGGAACTACAGAAACATTAGAGGAAGTTGTTTCAAAAACCGGATTAATTACTGATATAATAACTAGTCTAACTAAAATAAAACAAAAACTAATGAATAATTAAAACTTAGTAACAATTAGTTAGGGAAACTGAAATCTACCTGCAAAACAAAAAACTACCAATTGAACCATGTCACTATCTCCTTTCATAAGGAATATAACAAAAAAAACTAAAGAAAAGTAAAGCTACGTGAAAAACCATGCATATCACTTGCTTGGTATCAAATTCATTGACAAAACTATTAAAATATTATATGAGGATATGTCAATTTGGAATAAAAAAAATATGCAGAAAACTTTGGTATCAGAGCCTACAAACCCAACCAAGTTAACCAACCAAAGAATAAGAATAAAGAATCAAAAACTAAAATGAGAAATGACAAAAATGTGCAACCCGATTCAACCCAACGGGCTCACTTTGACACCCCTAGTTGTCACCGTATCCCATCCTGGAATAGACACCTAAGTGCAATCTTTCTATAAAAAACCATCAATCTCCAACAGGTAACTGCGAAGATATCTCACAAACATGATCAATCGATATTAAAATTGGTCTTAATAAAAAAAAATTGGGACTTTTTATAGAAAAGTATATATATAAATGAGGTAAAAAACTATAAGAACAAGTTGAACAACCAAGAACCCTATGCACCATACCCGGATGAATTGAGATTGTTAAAATGCGGATCATGTTCAAGGAAAGAAAAAGTAACCAACAGGCAACAGCCATTGATCAATGCGACGATAAATTCCCCTCTCCTCTCTTCTTCCAGTTCCATTTACCACCCAGATGACAGAGGCTACTTCTTCAGCCACGCAACACAACGACAACGACGGGGAATCCAACCCGTACCCGGCCCACTGGGGTCCGACGGCCTGGACCCTGCTCGCCGATCTCCGGCAGCGCTGCCCTCTGGTCCAGTGCCTCACCAATTTCGTCTCCATGGACATGGCCGCCAACACCCTCATCGCCGCCGGCGCGTCCCCGGCAATGATCCACTCGCTGGGAGAGATCCCTGACTTCACCCCTCAGACCCACGCGCTCTGCGTCAATGTGGGCACACTCTCCCCCTCCTGGGTTCCTGCCATGAAAGCCGCTGCAGAGCTGATGATTAAGTTGGGGAAGCCTTGGGTTCTTGACCCAGTTTCCGCTGGCGCTTCTGGGTTCCGTTTGAATACTTGTTTGGCACTCGTCGGGTTGAAGCCTACCGTAATTCGAGGGAATGGGTCTGAGATCATTGCTCTGTCCAAGGCTTCTCTCGGTGCCTCCAAGGTATTCGATTAAATGTCTAGCTGGGTTGTCTCGGTATTGGATGAGCTAAAATTGTATGCTTTTGATGTGCAATTGATCATTGATTGAGTTTTTCCATGTTCAATCAAGGGTGTAGAGAGCGCCCATGGGTCGTCCATGGATGCACTAGAAGCAGCCAAATCCTTAGCTAAGTCGAGCGGATCCGTAGTTGCAGTGTCAGGAGCTGTTGATATTGTCACTGATGGCAATCGAGTTGTTGGTGTTCATAACGGAGTTCCCATGATGCAGAAGATCGCAGCAACTGGGTGTGCAGTCACGGCACTCATAGCTGCCTTTGTTGCTCTCGACCCATCACATCCTCTGGAAGCAACAGCCTCTGCCCTCTCTGTATTCGGCATTGCAGGTGAGCTCGGAATGGTTCTGGCGAAAGGTCCTGCTTCGCTGCGGGTGCACTTGATCGATTCCTTGACCGCACTTGATGAAGCTGCTTTGCTATCTCGAGTAAGGATCGCCGATATGTAAGGCTGCAAGCGCAAGCTCGTAATATCTCGGTAATGTGTCTGTGACTAATGGCGTACAGAGTTTGCATAGATTAGTCTTGGCATGAATCAGCATCATCTATGAGATGTATGAATAAAGGAGCTGTCAGTTCATTTCCAACCGCATTTTCATTTCACTGCATCGCATACTTCTTTTTAAAAGTAGAAAAGTTCATTCCTTTGTAGCTCACACCATAGATAATCACAACCATTTTACAATGTAGATCAAACAAACTGAAACATCATCAATCCATTCAAGACAAAGTTAGGAAGAAAAACAAAGCAAGATCCTTTTTTGTTGTTTGTTTTGTTGGTTTAGTACTTCAGATGAACGGTGACCCTGAGCAATGTCTCAGCACCATCTGTGACATGCTGTCCAGAAGGGATGAGCCCTCTCACATTGGCACTCCCGATGGCATGCTTGAACTTTCCGGTTCCTCCTGTGACCGACAAGTACGACATGGGGCTGCCGATCTTGTACACTCCATAGAAGTTGATGCTATCACCAAACTCCCCACCTTCGAACATGGCGGTGAATGACATCATCTGGGTGCTGCCATCTGCAGAACTCGCCACATAAACACCTTGAGCTTTGCCAAGCTGCTGTGACCCGAAGTCAGGGGTGGAAGTCAGGATATCATCAATGACGGTGATGGTCCCGAACCCGAGCCCCAACCCATCCGGTCCCAGCTGGGTCTGAATCTGATTAACATTGTTCTGGTTCTGACCATTTGCTTGGCCTCCAGCATAACGGGTTCCAGCCAAGCCCGTCCCCAGAGGGATGCCGTTGATATTGACAGTAGGGAGGGCGCCATTGGCGTTTGGGATAGCTACTCCGCCTTTGGGAGGAACGAACCCAACTGGCCTGGCGAAAGGCACCTGACCACTGTAGATGTTCCCTAGCAAACCGGTGATCGGCCTGGCTGTGGGGCTGCTTCCGCCGAGAATGTCGTGCATGTAGAACTCCAGAATGGGGTCTTCAGCAGCAGGTTGTGCTGGTATTGGCTCCGCGGCAGTCGCAGGAGCTGCCATGTATGTTGCAGCAAATATGAGGGAAATGAAAACAGAGGATAGCATTGAGGTGATTGGGGACATTGTTTTTGTGTAGATTGAGGGTTTGGGAAAGCTTTTCTTGTTAAAATTAAGGAGCTCTAGATGGTTTAGTGAGAATGGCAAAGCTGGAACGATGGCTCTTTGTAAGCCATCGATTATTGGAGTAGTTGATTATGAGAGTGAAGTTGGTGGAATTAATGCAAAATTTGTTGGAAAAGGAAGGGTTTTCAAGCCTTAGTGAGTTGTGATTTTCCATTATAAGGACATTTGAGATAACTAGTTGTAGTAATGCGAGTGAAGTTGTTTGGATTTGGAAATGGTTTAGTTGCGGAAGAAGAACCGATTAAGCTTCTTTTTTTGGGTGGAAATGTGTGAGTGAATTCGGTTCATAATCGGATCGAATTGCGATATGATTGAATAAAAAGGGTAAATTTGGATTAAAAGTACATATGTTTGGTTCAATTCGATTATGTCCAATTATAACTTTGCTCGATTTTTTTATATTGACTACAATTAATCAAAATTAAACTCGAATCAAATTATATTCAGCCTAGTTCGATTAGAATCGATCCAAATATTGGTCTAGACCTCTAGGGATAATGGAACGATTAGCTATACCTATAAGTTAATAGTTTAATTATTAACCCGCATGTCTCGATTAGCTCATTGGTCTAGACCTCTAGGGATAATGGAACGATTAGCTATACGTATAAGTTAATAGTTTAATCATTAACCCGCATGTCTCTATTAGCTCAGTTATCAGGTTACCTAACCTTAATATATTAGTCAATTAACCGTCTAACTGCCCAACGACTTTCTCTAAATAAGACCCCCACCTCTCAGTCCTTGTTTTCCTAACAACGAGACTAATTCACCGCATACAAAAAAAAAGGTATATGGTAAAATTTTCTTCTGTTGTCTGGGAAACAAAAGAAGAGTTAAGGTTCAAGCCATTGCAGGAGTTATGGTCGCACCTTCTTATAGCAGACCTCTATTCACCTACACAATGATGGTCACATTTCTTGTTTTCGAAAGAGGAATGAATTCCCAGGAAGCTGCTGTTTTTGAAATGGTGATGTGTAGATTATGTTGTTTACCTTGGAATGCAAGGAAATAGTAAGTCATTACAGTAAGCATAAGTGCAGTCCATGTGATGAAAAATATGTTGAGAGCACATTCAAGTCTTTGTCCATAGAACAAGTACATTGCCGGAATCCCACAGACAGTAACTATGTAAAAGAATGTTGACATTAATAGTCCAAAGGAGCAACTGCAGAAGATTAATTGTTCTCCTTCTTCTTGCTGTGAAACTATGGCGCTGGAACTAATGTGTAATGAACCAGCTTCAAACATGTTTGTTTTCCCTTGGTTGAGAAGAAGTCAGAAAAATGGCTTGTTCAAAACTTCAGTCTTCAAAAAGGGGGAAAAAAAGGAAAAAGAAGTAAACAATGCCCTCACGCAGGATCGAACTACGGACCTTCAGTTTACAAGACTGACGCTCTACCACTGAGCTATAAGGGCCTTGTTGAAAGATCCTCACCTGTTAACCTATATAAAATAAAATACTAGAGATTGAATTGACAAGTGACTTGAGCAAATTTCCCAAAATTCCAGGTCGGTCAGGAAGCTGGTTTGCTCAAATCTGTGGCGGGAAGGGAAGGGAACAGCCATTCCTTTGGGAAGAAGAAAAGACGAAGGGAACGCGCAGGTAAACCCTCAAATCCCAAGCAGCACTAACCGTAATCGGTTCCCTTCCCCTCTTTGCCATGTCTTTCCTCGACGAATTTCAAGCCAGTAAGCCTTTTCCACCTCCTAGTTTGTTCGATTATTTCAGAAACCCTAATTTCCGGACATCTCTATGTATCGTGAATCTATACTATGCTTTCTGTTCCAAAATCCTCAATGTCCTTTTCATCAATTCATGTATATCGGATGGTCACATCAACTCCGGGGGGGCGGCAGTGCTCAAATTTCTACCTTTGTATCAGTAATGACTAGCTTTCCATTGTTAACAAGAGCGATGATTCCTTGTGTGTTTTGAATGCCAAGTGCAGACCTTGAGTCACTGCCCAACATCCTGCAGAAGAAGTACGCCCTTTTACGTGATCTTGATAAGAGCTTGCAGGGTATGTATGTATGAATGTGTGTGCACTTACATGCTCTGAGAGAGTTCTTCTGCTTAGTGCAGTGTGTTTCCATGTCATCTCCTAGCAATCACAGCCTGATATGAGATACCTAGCGATTACAACGTTTTGTGTATACGAACAGGGATCCAACACCAAAATGAACAGCGTTGTGAACAAGAGATAGAGGAAATTAAGTGCCGAATCAAGACTGCAAATACTTTGCCCGATGCTTCGGTAATCAAATTCTCCGATGAGGCACTCGATGAGCAGAAACATAGTGTCAGGATTGCTGATGAAAAGGTTGCCTTAGCTGTCCAAGCATATGACCTGGTATGCTCATCCCATTTCATTGCTATGACCAGCTTGCAGAGTCTATAACTGGTGTTTGCTCTTTTATCTCCTAGCTTGCCCATTCTTGGGGAGCTAGCTTCAAGTGCTTGTTTTGAATCGGTTCAAAGTGTGATTCCGAGACTAGGTTTTCCGCTTCCTTGTTTGCCGGCTACCAGTTTTGCTATACAGTAGATAACTTTAGAATTGTTCGACCATGCCTCAGGTTGATGCACATATACAGCAACTTGATCAATATTTGAAGAAGTTTGATGAGGAGCTCCGGCGTGGTTGGTCACTTTTTGTTTCTTTTCTGCCTGATGTGGCTTTATGGGCGTTCTTTCGCAGACACTATAATTTGCAGCTCTTTTCTTTGTATAAATGCTTCTTGGCAGAGAGAGAGAACAATGCTGCATCCGGACAGCAGACTGCAAGCACTGATTCCACTCCAAAATCCGGAAAGGCTAGTGAGGGTGGTAGAGGACGTAAAAAGTACTTGTTCTTCTCGTTTATCTTGGTTATCTTTATCATTTGAACATAACATTTTATGATGTAGAGCTGATCTGCGTTGATTGCATAATATCAAACAATTCGCACAGGACACGGCTGGCTGCAGCAACTGAAGCAGCAGTTGCCACCTCATCTGCTGACCCCTCCACCACCGTGGAACTGGATATACCAGTAGATCCCAATGAACCAACCTACTGTTATTGCAATGAAGTTAGCTACGGGGACATGGTTGCTTGTGATAACCCAGATGTAAGTCCGCTGAGTTTATTTTTCATGCCCGCTTTATGTGATAACCCAGAATGTCGGTGAGAAATGGTCCTCAGAAGTTTTTCTCAACTTGTTACAGTGCAAGATAGAATGGTTCCACTTCGCCTGTGTCAATGTTAAAGAACAACCCAAGGGTAAATGGTACTGCCCGGATTGCGCTCCTGCGAGGGGTCGACGGAAAGCAAAATGAACTTTGATGATGCTTGCAATTCGTGCGCCTTGCTGCTGCACTGACTTTGTACAGCGATGCCCTGTATCAACCTTGAAAGCTGCGTCAGCCTGTGTATCGTGGACGTCTTGTATGCATTTGTTTTTTTTTTTTGTAAGACTTGCGTTTCTTTCAGCTATAAGAAGAAAGTGACAGTTTCTACTTTGACGTTCATTGGACGATTTTCCAAACAAGGTCATGATACATTTGCAAGCAGTAGAGCAATCTCGGCAATAAATGATTTATTGTGGGAGATACAGGCAATAGTTCCTCAGATATCAACTTCCCTTTGGGTGAGTAACAACCAGTTCCATCTTTGTCCGCAATTCATCAAAGCTACAACTCTACCTACAAAACCCAAAAAAATCGAAAGAGATCCTCCATCCACTCACAGTCTCACACTATGACCAAATACGGGACTAGCTCGAACTCTTCAACAATTTTGGTACAAAATCCAGTGTTTATGAATCTCCGTATCAGTTCTTTGTCAACCACTAAGGCCCTCAGTAGTCCATGCCCATGCCGCCTGGCATCCCAGGAGCTTCTTTCTCTTCTTTAGGAAGCTCAGTTATAATAGCTTCAGTTGTTGTCATCAAGGATGAAACACTGCATTCGCCAACACAAACCACCCAGTCAGAAGTCAGCATTCAGCAATCGATTCAATTAATGGGGTAACTTAAGGAGTTGGGAGTAGCGACGTACCTAGCCGCATCAACCAAAGCAGTTCTAATTACTTTAAGAGGGTCGATAATTCCAGCTTTTACCATGTCAACATAATCACCTGGGTACAAGCACGCAGCCACAATATTTCAGTATGATTTCTGACAAGCTCAACTACGAGCGTAAACAAGGGATTGATATTAAATGGTTGCTCACCTTTGGCAGCATCATACCCAAGGTCTAGGTTGTCTTGTTCCATTAGCTTGCCAACAACAACGGCTCCCTCAACTCCAGCATTAGATGCAATTGTATGCACGGGAGTCTGCAATGTTAAAATTCAATAGTCATCTTTCTCTACTTTGAAGCAAGCAGAAGAAAAAAGATCGGACAGAGATAGTTGGAAATTGCCAAGAGACCTTTAATGCATTCTGGATGATTTGGACACCAATCTTTTGGTCAAAATTGGCAGTCTGCAGTTTGTCCAACTCTTTGGCCGCATAAAGAAGAGCGACACCTCCACCTGAAATCCAGAATTCCACTTAAGAGACTCATGGCCGCCAACCTGAACAACTGAAGACAACTAGAGGATAAAATATATAGAGAGAGAGATATTACCTGGGACAATACCCTCTTCCACGGCTGCCTTGGTTGCGTTCAAGGCATCTGTAACTCTGTCCTTTTTCTCACTGACCTCGGCTTCACTTGCACCACCGATCTGTTCAAGTAAAATCAAACTGTTATAGCCAACTTCATGCTAGCATTTACAAAAGACAGCTCTACTAGACAGGTAGAAAGCAGAATGACAGCTCAGATATACCTTTAGTACAGCCACACCACCAGACAACTTGGCAAGCCTTTCTTGCAACTTCTCCTTATCATAATCAGATGTGCTCAGTTCTATTGCAGACCGGATCTGTCAGAAAAATGTATAATCATTAATACAAAGCTTTGCCACATAACGTTAGGGAAATGATGAAACGTAAGGCAGGTATTCCAAAAAACAGACCTGTTCACATCTTTCTTCAATGGATTTCTTGTCACCAGCTCCATCAAGAATGACTGTGTCGTCCTTTGATATTGTAAGCTACAACAAAATACAAACGAGTATCTTCATCAAATTCAGCATAAGCAGAATCAACCAGAGCTCTAAACGCATTTCCTAAGAAGCTAAAAAGGTGTACATGTAGATTACCTTCTTGCAGCTGCCAAGCATCTCCATGTCAACCTTTTCAAGATTCATTCCAAGCTCTTCGGTTATAACCTGTCAAGTGAGGGTGTCAACAGGCTTCATTCAGAAAGCTGATCTATGAAGGGAGATAAACATGAGAGTGAAAAAAGCACTGACTTGTCCTCCTGTAAGAGCAGCAAGATCTTGAAGCCCTGACTTCCTGTTTTCTCCAAAACCAGGAGCTTTAATGGCACAGAGCTAGAGAAAGCAGACAAGGGAAAAGTAATCATCTATCTGAGCCACAATTCACAATGATTATTAAATCAGATGCTACAGCATAACAAGCATCAAACCTTGAGTCCAGCTCGAAGTTTATTTAGGATGAGAGTTGCCAATGCCTCGCTCTCTATATCTTCAGCAACAATCAACAATGGCTTTTGGTGCTGCAAAAGGAAATAAAATTTGAGCAAACAAACCAAGCAAGAATCTATTGCATTGGTGTGCTCCAAACTAATTTAGAGGAGAAATAGAAAACACACCTTCAAGGCCAACTCTAGTACTTTTACAATAGCACTAACACTGGCGATTTTCTTCTCGTGGATCAAGATCAGGGGATTTTCTAGTTCCTATTTTGGAAAGACAGATCAAGCTCAGTCAAGAATCACTCAAAAAGAATTTACAATCAAAATCATTCAGGACATTCTGGCTAGAATCAGACGAAGCAAGCACTTACACATTTTTGGTTCTTAGGGTTAGTGATGAAGTAAGGTGATATGTAACCTCTATCCAACTTCATTCCCTCCACAACTTCCAACTCGTTATATAATGTTTTACCATCCTGCAGCAGTTTGACATGGAGTTAAGATCCTAATGCCACAATCATGACGTCAAAACACTTGCATTAAGGATTACATGGAGCTAGCTTACTTGGATAGTAATAACTCCCTCTTTGCCAACCTTCTCCATTGCCTTGGCAATCAACTCCCCAATCTCTCTCTCTCCATTCGCTGATATAGTGCCAACTTGTGCAATTTCTTCAGACGTGCTGATCATCCGTGCTCTACTTTTTAGGTGGGCGACAACGGCGTCAACTGCCATGCTAATACCTCTTCGTAGATCCATTGCATTCATTCCCGCTGCAACTGATTTGCAACCTTCAGTGAATATGGCCCTAGTAAGAACTGTTGCACATGTGGTCCCTGCAAGAACAACCAGAAACTAATTATATTGCTGTACGACAATCCACTGGATACGCCAAAGTTACGAATGGTTAATGTTTTCTCAATGTCACTTACAGCAAAAATCGTACTGAATTAATCCATTGAAACAATTGTATATAAGAACCTCTGCTATCATATGCTAGTGAAATTCAAAATGGATTCCCAGTTCCAAACCGTCAGGAACCATGATTGTTCACATTTTTTACTGTACAAAAGTGAAGAGAGTAGTTGTATCAGTTTAGACACTTACCATCCCCAGCAGTATCATTGGTCGCATTAGCAACCTGCTTGACGAGGCTAGCGCCAATATTCTTAACTTTGTCCTTAAATTCAATGCTCTTGGCAACAGTAACTCCATCCTTGGTCACTTTTGGGGCACCATAGCTTTGCTCAATAACCACATTACGACCCTGAAATGCGTAGACGGATGATAATTAAACTGCGACCCAAACAGGCTTGTCCCAAATCATCACAACAGCAAAGAGAAGATCTGATGCTAAAATGACACCTATCCAGCTCGCCGCAAGCAGCTCAGTTCAATTTCAGTAGACCATAGAATGTAAGGAAGGGTATGCTGTATGTACCTTAGGGCCCATAGTGACTCTGACAGCATCAGCAAGCTCTTCAACGCCCTTAAGCATCAGAGCACGGGCCTCTACGCCAAATCTGATGTCTTTGGCCGCATAGTTTCTGTTCCAGTTCACTCTGCTTCCAATCTGAAGTGATAATCCACAAACAAATCAGCAAACACCAAATCGCATCCTATCCAATCACACGTGGGGGGAAAAAGGCACACGTTCTTACCTGCTGAGCAGCATTCCTGGCGATCCTGCAATTGACAAAACAAGTCAAACAGAAAAAAGAATAAAACCCACCATCAGCAGAACGAAGGAACAATAACCGAAACCTTCATTCGTTAAATTCAACAGCTCAGAAGTTCTCGTTTCTCAAACAGCGGCCTCTCTCCCCCGCTATTTTCTGGGAAATCAGATGAGGAGAGTGAATAGCCAAGAGCCAGTCTCGGAACTCACCGAGCTTTAGTGGCGAGGCTGGAAGCGAATCGGTACATGGCTGAATGCAAATTGCAGAAGGATTTGCAAATGAATATGGAAGGAGGAGTGAAGTCAAAAGATCAATGGAGAGTGCACAGAACGAGAAAGAGAGAGACAGACGCGAGAATGGAAATGGGAGAGGGCGGAGAGATGGGTTTTCTAGTGAGAGGAGGAAGGGTCTAGAAGCAACCTCGGCAGCTTCTGGTGGTTAGGGTTTAGGGTTTTTGTGAAATTCTATTCCTTTCTGCAAGCACTGTGCGTGCGAATGGGGTTTAGTGTAGTCGGCTGCAAATGGCAAGGAGGAAGCGACGACGTTTTACCGGAGGATTGTTTGCCAGCAATGCCTATTGTATATCATTTTAACAAAATCCATCATTTTGATTTTTATGATTTTAGCAGAAACATACATGCATTATGTCATTTATCTATTTTATTTCTCATAATAGGACGTTCCATCAAAACAAGGTAGGAACAAGATTTGCTCGTGTGCATCTCCCAAGTTGATCGGAGTTGGCCGACGCGGAGAAAATAGGAAAAGAACATTCGAAGCGAAAGTCCAAGTTTAGGGTTTTCTGGCCGTCAGTATGGCGGCGGTCTCCCCGCCGACGTCACCAGGGATGGCGGACAAGGTTTCGGACGTAACTAGTGGTGTCCGGCGACCGTCGGAGGTGTCTTCCACCCCGGACGGGAAAAGTGAAAGAGAAACGGTTCAACCCAAAAAGAAGGTCCGTCCGTTGGTTTTTGAGCAGAGCGCGGGGGGGGATTTTGAGGGTACAGATGCAACGGATATGGAGACGGAAAAGGAAAAAGGGAACTTTGGGACCAGCTCGGCGGGAAAGGGAACCTGGGGGAGGAGCTTCAGTGCGGTTCTTCAAGAAGATAAGTGGTATGTGGAGGAGTCTGATTCTGAGGATGTGGCAGCAAGGGAGAAGGAAGAGGATGATGAGATGGACGCCGAAGAAGATCCAAAATGCCCTACGATTACGTTCACTGCGGCGGAAAAAATACGATGGCGTAGGGAGTGGAGGTCGGCGTTGGTAGTGAAAGGACTGGGCAGGAGGGTCTCCTATATCCCGCTGGCTCGAAGACTGAACTACTTATGGGCGAGGAATGGGGAGATTCAAATCTCTGATATGAACAATGGATGTTTCCTGGTACGGTTTCGAAACCAGAAGGACTATGAATGGGCAATGGAGGGGGGACCCTGGCTTCTCGGTGACACCTACCTTACGGTACATCGATGGTTTAAAGGTTTCAATCCCTGGAAGACAGAGATAACGACAACTATGGTATGGGTCCAGCTGCCGGAGCTGCCGATAGAGTTCATAAACAAGGAAGCAGTTATGAAAATTGGTCAATGGTTGGGGAAGCCGGTACGCGTTGATCGGGCTACGGAGATTGGGGCTCGTGGCCGGTTCGCAAGACTTTGTGTGGAAGTGGATTTGACACAACCACTGTTATCCCAGTATAAAATCGAAGGGACGACATACTTGATCCGATATGAGGGCTTGGATGACTTGTGCACTAACTGTGGGACTTATGGCAAGTCTGGAGGGAAGTGCCAGTGCAATTTAGCAGAGAAGGCGATGGAGACGGAGGAAGTTCGGGTGGACGAGATGGAGAAGAGAGAAGATCCGACCCAAGGGCGCACCTATGGGGAGTGGATGGTGGTTAAGCGCCGTGAGAGGAGACCTGGTAGGGGAGTAAGTCGGGGGAAGGAGGGGAAAGGTGAAGGAAGTGAGTCGAATAGGTTCCAGGCTTTTGCGGGGGAGGTGCACCAAGTGAGGGTGGAGGAAGAAGCTGTTATGGTAGATAGAGGGGAAGCGGGGAAACCTAAGGATCAACCAACGGCTACCCATCCCTTAAATGAAGGCTTATCCCATGCAGAAGGCCATGCACACCTCGTAGAGGAAGAGGCCCAAATGCACAGTTCCCAAGGGAAGAGTGCGAAACTGGATGCTCCCAGTCAACGGGAGACTATGACAAGTAAGAAAGAATCCGTGGCTGCTAAGCCACAAGGTGTGCAGACAGCGAAAGGAAATGCGGGTGTAAACCCAGGGAAGAAAGGTGAGGGGAAGAAGCAGGGGCAGAGGAATGAGGGTATAAAAAATGTAGGGCTGCGTATGGATACTGGCGGCACGAGTACACTAAAGAAAGCTGATGGTGCGGGGAACCGATCCCCTTCAGTGCATAAATGAGACTATTATGTTACAACTGCCGTGGGCTGGGAAACACACGAGCAGTTAGAGCTTTGCGGTCGTTGGTGCGACGGGTTTCCCCCCAAGTTGTGTTCTTAATGGAAACAAAACAACTTCGGGATGAGAATGAGGCTTTGAGGAAGGAGATGGGATTTAGTCATGGCGGAAGCTGGCCGTGCGATGTGACTAGGGGTGGTCGTGCAGGAGGATTGTCAATCTGGTGGTTAGAGGAAGTTAAGGCAGAGATTGTCGAGGGCTCCCCAAACTTTATGGATCTCAGAGTAGAGGAGGGTCAGGATAAGGTGTGGAGGTTTACTGGTATCTATGGCTGGGCTGAAGGGCATGAGAAACATCGAACACGGGAACTAATCCGCGATCGGGCGAGGCAGTGGGAGGGACCATGGATATGTGGGGGAGATTTTAACCAAATATTATCGGACCGAGAGAAGAAGGGGGGTAACCTCGGGAATGAAGTGGAAATGCGAGATTTTGCTGATAGCTTAATGGCGTCGGGACTACATGATCTAGGCTTCCATGGATATCCTTTTACGTGGGAGAACAGAAGACGAGGAGGGGGATACATTGAAGAGAGATTGGATCGGTATGTGGCAAATGATGAGTGGCAAAACCTATGGCCGAATGCGAGAGTATTACACTTGGATGCAGCTCGTTCTGATCATCGGCCTATTGTTTGTGAGACGTTGGGGGATGAAGATGATATCAAGTGGGGCTGGAACTTCCGGTTTGAGCCAATGTGGGTAAAACATGCGGAATGCGCCGAGACCATAAAGGAAGCCTGGAACTCAGCCCCCGGGAATGCGACTGTTAAACTTGCAAATGTGCAGGAGAGGCTCGATCGCTGGAGCAGGGTCACGTTCCCCAATTTTGGCCGCCAGAAGGAGAAGATTCGGCGGGCTTTAAGGGCTTTGGACAGGAGGGAGAAAACAGATGAGGTTTTAGAACAGAAACAAAAGCTCCAAATTGAGCTTGAAGAATTGGAATGTGATGAGGAGATTTTCTGGAAGCAACGGTCGAGAGCGGACTGGCTCCGGGAGGGCGATAAAAATACGAGCTTTTTTCATAGAAAAGCTACCATGCGTCGAAAGCGTAACTTGATCCGCAAGCTGAGAGATGAGTCAGGAGCGTGGTGGAGAGGTAATGAAGATGTCTCAACGTGCCTTACTAAGTATTTTAATGATTTGTTCATGGCTGGGGATCGACCGGCTTTGACGCCAGTGTTGGATTCGGTTAGAGATCGGGTGAATGATGAAATGAACGTGTGGCTCGACCGGCCTATGACCCGGGATGAACTCTACGAAGCACTTCGACAAATGGGAAAGAGGAAGGCCCCTGGTCCGGACGGTATGTCAGTCTTGTTCTTTGTGAATTATTGGGATATTATCGGGGACGAGGTCTCCGAGTTGTTGATTGGGGCGTGGGATAGCGGGGTTATGCCGGCTGAGCTGAACCATACCTTGATTGCACTGATTCCAAAAGTTAAAGATCCAGTTATGGCAAAAGAGTTCCGACCGATAAGTTTGTGTAATGTGATGTACAAGGTGCTCTCAAAGGCGATGGCGAACAGATTAAAAGTTTTGTTGGATAAGATCATCTCACCAGAGCAGAGCGCTTTTGTTCCGGGACGTTTTATTGCTGATAACGTGATGACGGCCTTTGAATGTTTCCACACAATGAAGAAGAAAACGAAGAACAAAACTGGCTACTTAGCGGCGAAGACGGATATGGCGAAAGCCTACGATCGGGTTGAATGGTGGTTCCTGGAAGAGATGATGAGTAGAATGGGCTTTGGCGGAAGTTGGATTCAGAGAATTATGATGTGTGTAAAGTCAGTGACCTACTCTATCCTGGTGAATGGGCACCGATCACAGTCTTTTGCCCCCGGAAGAGGAATTCGGCAGGGAGACCCGCTGTCACCATATTTATTCCTATTGGTAGCAGAGGGGTTGTCGAGTTATGTGGAGTTAGCGGTCAGGGAGAAGAGGATTCATGGGCTATCGGTAGCAAGGGGAGCGCCCGTGATATCCCATCTTTTTTTCGCTGACGATTCTATCTTTTTTGCCAGGGCAACAGTGAAAGAAGGGTTGGAGCTTCGGCGGATCCTGGATGACTATCAATCGGAGTCCGGACAGTTGGTCAGCCTTGATAAGTCGGAGGTTACTTTTGGATCGAATGTGAAGGCGCACCAGCGGCTGATGGTGAGTTCGACGTTGGGAATGAAAGTGGTTGAAAAGCATGACAAGTACTTGGGCCTGGTTACTCAAGTTGGGAGATCGAAGAAAGAGCTGTTTGTGTACTTAAAGGACCGGGTACGGAAGAAATTGTCTGGATGGAAGGAGCGGACTATGTCAGCTGCGGCTCGGGAGGTCTTGATTAAGTCGGTGGCCCAGGCTCAGTTAACCTACACGATGTCAGTTTTTAAAGTACCGGAAGCGATTATTGATGAGATCCACAGCTTAATTACTCAGTTTTGGTGGGGTCAGAAGGGTCAGGAGAAGCGGATTCCGTGGATTGCGAGAGAAGGATTGATTTGTTCAAAAGCACAAGGGGGGTTGGGCTTCAGGGATCTCCGTGGCTTTAACATCGCCCTCCTCGCGCGCCAAGTGTGGAACCTTTATACTCGACCAGAATCTCTAGTGGCGAGGCTGCTGAAGGCAAAATACCACAAGAAGGTATCGATTTTAGACGCGCGAGTGGGAGGGAGCCCGAGTTATGTTTGGCGAAGCCTCATGAGTGCGCAAGATTTTTTGGTGGATGGACTGCGTTGGCGTATTGGGAATGGGGCATCGGTAAGAGTTTGGGGTGATCGCTGGGTACCAGCCTCGCCGGGCTTTATTGTTCAATCCCCTCCGACTGGTCTCCCGGTGGATGCAGTGGTTCGTGATCTGTTCGAAGAAGGTACTGAGCAGTGGGATGACACGGTGCTCGAGAGCTGTTTTTCAAAGGAAATGGTGCAAGCCATCCGACAAATTCCTCTACGAGACTTGGGGGAGCCGGATCGCATGATATGGGCTGATAGTAAGGACGGGTTGTACACGGCGCGTGACGGATATAGAACTTGGCTGGGGAAGCATCAACAGGAGAAGGGGAATCGAAGTGTGGGGGAGCCAGCCATGTGGAATCGCCTTTGGGCGATGAATATACCTCCAAAGATTAAGATTTTTATGTGGAAATTTATGAGGGGGGCTCTAGCTACTGGTGAGCAGGTGAACAAGCGGAATCCCAGGCGAGGTGACTCGTGCCCGTTCTGCAATCAAGTGGAATCGCAAGTTCACTTATTCCATCAGTGTATGTGGAGCAGCAGGATTTGGAGGACCTCGCGGGTTGCCCATTGCTTTGACTTAAGAGAGGATGCGAGCTGTTTGGAATGGTTTTGGAAGGTGGCGAAGACGGTCCCGGAAGATGTACTAGAGGATTGGGTGGTCCTATTATGGATACTTTGGAAAGAGAGGAATGCTCAACTCTTCAATGGGACAAAGATGGAGGAGATGGAGATTGTTCCCTGGGCGGAGGCGTTCCTTGATGAGTACCGGTTGCACCAATCGGAAGGCGAGGAAAATCATTTAACGGGGGATACCCAAATTTGGAAAAGGCCGCAGGAGGGGAGGCTGAAAATTAACACGGACGCGGGCATTGGAGATGAGGGTGTAGGGCTGGGTGTGGTGGTTCGAAATCATATGGGAGAGTTTGTTATGGCAGCTGCGAAGCAGGTGAGGGGAATACAGGATCCGACAATGGGGGAGGCACTCGCTGTCGAGTTCGGGTTACAGCTGGCGCGACAACACCATATGGTGAGCCCGATTATGGAGGTGGATTGTGTGAATGTGGTGGCAGGGGTCAGACGAGCGGCAGGGATACAAACCGAGCTAGGGGTGATCTGCAGGAATATCAGTAAGCTGCTAGAGGAGACAGGAGGGGGGACGATCCAACATGTCAGTCGAAAGGCTAATGAAGCTGCGCATATTATGGCGCATGTTAGAACTTTATGGGATAGAGCGGAAGTTTGGTTTGATAGGCCTCCGCTGATTCTGCTTGATCAGCTTAAAATTGATGATGTAACTTTTCCATATCAATAAAAGCTGAATGCAGGTTCTGATCAAAAAAAAAAAAAAAAAAAAAAAAAAAAGATTTGCTCGTGTGAATTGTGATAAAGGTGTCTCTGGGTGACTCACATGTCCAGGGATGTTAAAAATTCATGATAAATCATTCATTATGATCTTTAAATTTCATAAACTCAGGGTGCGAAAGATGATTTATTTATCGTACGTGGGACGTAAATCGTTGTTCGTTGACCACATGCTTACTGAGAGTAAAGAGTACAAACTCATTAGTAAAGGATTGGAGCAAAATTTCAGAATAAAAAGTAGTTATGGATAACCTGGCAAGTTTCGCTCAATATGTGCCATTGCACAAATTGAGCTAAACTTTATAAAATTTCGCTTAGTATGCACATAGCTACGTTAGTTGAGTTGAAATTTACGTGTTTCACCCAAAAAATAAATTATTGGTCGGATAAGAGAAATTTGACAGGAAAAAAGGATAGAACATAGACGAGAGGAGAATTTGGAGAGAGAAGGTGTGAAGGATTGAAGGACGATGACAAGGGAAGTGGAAAGCCACCGCCGATCGTCATTTCTGACGGATATAAAGCTGGTAATATATTAGAAACTAGGACAAAAGAAATTAGGGGTCATTTGGATGGATCATTTAAATGAGTTATTTGGGTCCAAATAACTCATTGTGAGTTATTTGGGCCAAAATAATCCGTTTGGCAACTATTTTTTCCGTCGCGTTATTTGAGAATAACGCGAAAACGCGTTAAAACAAATAACTGCTTGGTAGGAGTTATTCTGAAATAACGCAGCTTTCGCCTCTTTTTTGCCCCTTTCTGCCCCTTTCCTATCTCCTCTCTCCTCTCTCCTTACTTCTCTTTGCTACGATTTCATTGATTATTCTGTCCAAAGCCAAAATCGATTGATGCAAAATAGATTCTTCTACTACTTTTGGGTTCCTCTTTGCATGGAGATCAGATTGAGTAGGTGAAGCCTAGGTTGTGGCGGCGAACAGAGGCGAGTTAGTAGGCGGCGGCGATTGTAGAGCTTCTTCTGGTCGAGCTTTGGGGTCGTCTCTGCCGGCGGCGACGATTCCTTCCCTGCCAGCGGTGATGGTAGAGCTTCGTTGGACAGTTAGTCAAGAGACCGCTCAATTTGACAAGGAGAAGCTTCTTGGGTTCTTCTTCGCTGGCTGGATGCTGAAAGAAGAGGCTCAATTAGACAGGGAGAAGCTCCAGCAGGGACAGAATGGTGGAAGTTTGGAGAAATTCAGGCGAAATCTGCTTATATGTTGCTGATTTCTTACAACATTATTTGCTTACATGCTGATGGTTTTTGTTTGTTATTTTGGTTCTAATTAGTAATAAATAAACTCTCAATTATATATAACAGAAGGGGTTCCATTATAAACCCCAATTAGGAAACAAAATATACTATCAGCTACACAAGACCACTCTAACCAGCTACAATTAGGAGTTACAAATAGAAGGGCATAATGGTATTTCCAAACTTTTTGTTACAAATACCACATAACAAATAACTCATCTATTTTAGACATCCAAACAAGATAATTGATTCTTTAATTTTCTCAAATACCATACAACTACCATACAACCTAAAAATGAGTTCTTTTAACCTACAAATACCTCATAACCAAAAAACTCATCCAAACGACCCCTAGAAGAAATCAAACGCAAGAAATTATGGAAATAAAAGCTGGTACATAAAGTAATGACTAAACTATTTAAAAAGTGGAAGGAAAGGAATCCACACCAATATTTGGACTACACTACAAGTGTTGTTTATGCAAAACATAAAACGAAACATTGTTGTGGAAGTACAAGTTTAGCAAGAAGTACTACTCTCTGTAAAGCGAATCAAGTAACAGTACAATCTGATTCTGGGGAGTTTCAAGTTCAGTATGTATATCTCGCTGCTAAAGAATTTTTACAAGTTCTCCATTGGCGTGAAAGGAATGCTTCTGGGCCTGGCAACAGTATAAGCCACAAACACAGAGAGACATATGGAGATTACTGAAAACAGAAGAGCAAACGCACTGGCCACCCCACCTCCCGAGTCTCCTCCTCCAGTTGCCGATGTCGCTAGCTTAGAACTGCTTGATAAGATCTCCAAAGGGATCCAATCGCAGTTAATGGAGTAATGTCCTGCCTTGTGCCATGGCTGCCCATCTACTGGGTACCAGAATGCTACAGCCATCTTGCTTGATCCCCCGATCGTAAACTGAGCATCCTGGAGTTGAGGTAAGAAAATTATTTATGTAAGATAAGCTTGTTGATATCGTTCCTAAATCCGGATCCATCAATTAGTTGATTTTCACAGAGCAGATGATTTGAATGCGAGTTCTACTTTTATGGGCAAGCAAGCAAATATGGATGAGCATGAGCTGAGGAAAGATACTTCTCACTAACCTGGCTAGAATGTTCGATTCACATAGGGGGCAACTTGATCCGCGGAAGCCAAAAACATGATTATAGCTATAAAAAAAAATTATATGTGCTGATTGCTGATTGTTCTTACCTGTTGGAGTCGATCCATGGTTCTTAAAGCCCTCGAGAATTCGAAATAGTATTTGCCTTTTTGGCCATCTGATCCATAAGGGCTGTCATCCTGGATGAAACCTGATACAAAAAGTTCGAAACGTTGTGAGTGCAGTAGGATTGGAAGCACAGAAGGAGACTTTGAGTAGCCACTTTGCTTGGAAACATGCTCAACAACAAAGACAGACTGAATCGTTTATAGAACAGTTCAGGTGAGTCCTTCTCTGACAGATAAGCAACACTAACCTCCTAGGAAAGAGTTACACGGGGTTGGCTGTACAGAAGACATTATATGTTATCTCAGGTGGGTTCTTAATATATGCTACATTTCACTATCAGATCTAAAGAATATTTGAATATGGTACTAGAGTCATTTCCTGCATTTCAAATTGAATACCAAGCAAGTTAATATATAACAAGAGATGGAGCAAAATAACTAGATGCAACCACAAGCCTTTCAGTGCCGAACTTCTGGTACCAATTTCGACAAAACTGTGGACTTTTACAGCTTTAAAGGCGAAAGGAAAAATACCAATTACATCTATTTCACAGAACAAAATTCAACAACTTATGGATCGGCTGGTTTATCCTTTAAGAAGAAAGTAAAACAATCGGAGACGTTAACCTGCATCTAACTGCTCAGAGAGCAAACCAATCACATATTTCCATTTTGCTCAATCCTGATTGGATAAGCCTTTTCTAATCAACTAGATTCAAGTTAGTACTTTATCCCACTTTCTTACTTTCACCTAGCAGATGGACATTTCATTTTGCTTGCATTCTAAATGCGTCCGTCAACAAAAGAGCAAAAGCGAGCTTCCGACTTACCCGATGGACCCATACCATCCAGATATCTACAGTGCGGATTCCAGGCATACAGATCAACTAGATGACCAAATCTGTAGCAGGGAGATGACAATAGTTCAAATAAAAGAAACTAAGCTACATATGCATATCTGATAAAATACCAGAAAGTAAAAAAAGTCATTCTACAGTATTGGTTTTATGTTTAACTAATCAACATTTAGATCACCTGTCACCTCCATTCCCATCCCCATTGTCTATGGGATTGCCACCATAGAGCCGTCCAGGGATAGCATTTCCAAGTGAGAAGTGCATGATGTCAACTTCATGGCCTTTGCAGGTCTTATTGGTACAACTGTCTGTTCCCTCCTTGCAACCGCCCATCTAAATTAACAGACAGCCATCTTCCCAAAATTTCAATGCCAAAACTTGCACAAAAGAGGGAAACAAACATGAATCGACATCAACAAGAGCAAAACCATCAGCAGGAGACAACTTACACTGTGATAGGTGGCATCAGCACCTACTTGAAACATGAGAGAAACAGAAGCGCACTTAGTGTTATCCCTGCAATACAGATAAGCGAAAAGAATTCCCACAACACAAACTCTGGATCAGTTGGGAAGATCTTGGAGCCTCCTAGCTAACTCCATTGCAAAAAGCGACACCACTGTGATCCTTTCCAAAACTAGGGATTGGGAAAATGGGAAATCTTGAAGTGGGCAGATCAGATGAACTATCTCCAATCAATTGGGAAAAGAAGAAATTTCCAAATGCCCAAATAGCAACTAGCCAGGTACACCAAATTGAATCAGAGAGTGTAAAAGACAGTACTACAGCGATGGAAACCAAACTCACTCACCCTTTTGAATACGCATAATCCCCATCAACTTCCAAGAAGAAGAATACGTCACGGCCATCATGTAACGCCTGAGCGGGAGCAAGCAAACAAAAAGTGCCCAATCGTTCGTCATCGTTAATCTCTGAGGTAAGGCGAAAAAGGGCTAAAACCTCAAAGCAGGCATTCTATTACATTGCATACACATACCTTAACAGTCATTTTGCCAGCTTTATACTCCTTATCGGCGTCAGGGTCGAGCGCGGGGCGGAGAGGGAATTCGAAGCCGTCAACGTCCTTCCAATCATCGGAGTGGCCATCGACGGTGACGAGTCCCGGATTGAAGACGGCGGCGACTCGGGTATCAGAGTCGGAGTCGCAAGTCCAGGTTCCGGACTCCTGGTGGGAGCTGCCGAGCTGGATCAGGTGGGTGAAGGCCGAGAGCAGCAGCAGCGGCAAGGGCAGCGAAAAAGTTAGTCTCCTAACTGATGTCTTTGTTAGGAGATGCTAACACGGTTTGGATTTTGTCCACGTAGGCCCAGCTGAGATCCAACGGAGGGGATAGATGGGCTCATTTAAGTGGGGTTTTGTGGGTTTTTTAGCCCAGCCGAGAAAGGAGAGGGAGCTGATGGGTGGCGGCTCGGTGGGGACCAGTTGTCAAGGGCGGGAGAAAGGGAAAGAAAGGGAGAGGGTGGGTGATTTATTTGGGGAAATGATTAAAATGGGGGAGAGAAGTTGAAAAAGTGGCTTCTGCGGGTCCACCAAAAAGCTGATTAATTGGAGAGAGGAGAGAAGTGACGAAAAAATATAAAGAAAAGTGATAAATAATTGGAGAGAGGAGGGAAGTGACAGAAAAGAAAAAAAAAAGGAAAAAGTAATTGCAAGAAAAAGAGAAGTGACGAAAAAGTGGGGGAAAGAGAGTGATTGGGGAATTTATTTTTGGACCACTTCTTTTCTCTATCAACCTCTCTCATTTTTTTTTGTGTGTGGATATTAATCCATGGGCTGAAGGATATCAAGTTTATATGGTCAGATATTAGTCTGAGCGGTATGGATATTTATTTTTGAATGAACTGATATTATATGCAGTGGATATTAGTTTGTGAAGTAATGAATATTGTGTCTTCCATCAAAATTAAACACACAATCAAGTCCTAACACATAAGGCTTGCAACCTTAGTTAGGGCTGCCCGCCGAGGGCCCATGGGCCGAAGGCCCATGAAACAATAATAGTAGGAGAGTGATGGTTTAGGGTTTATGATTTAGTGATTAGTCTTGTAGTCGGATATTAAACTCGGTGGTGTTTGTCTTTGTTTTTGCAAAGAATGGGTATTAGTTTAGGTGGTTCGGATATTAGCTTTTGGTTTGAGATATTAGTTCATGTTTTCAACTATTTGTCTGGGATGTTTGGATATTTGTTTTCTCATTAACTGATATTAGTCTGTTGATATTAGTTCATTGTCAATTTAATTACTTTTGGTATTAGTTTGCGATTGTTAGATATTAGTCTATGTGCGGTGGGTATTAGTCTGCGATGGTCAGATATTTGTCTGTGTGTGGTGGGTATTAGTCTGTATGGTGAGGATATTATTTACGATCTGAATGTATATTGGTCTTAGGCGATGAGATATTGGTCCGGGTGTTGTGGGTATTTGTTATGGTGAACGGATATTATTCTAGGTGGTTTGGATTTGTTTTGTATGGATGTTTATCTGTGTTTGTTTTGAAATTTAGTTTAATAAGCGATTAAGGTTTAGAGTTTATGTGTAATTGGTATTAGTTTGTGATGTTCAAATATTAATCTGTGTGTGGTGGGTATTAGGGTTCAGGGTTCAAGCTTTGTGTTTAGTGTTTAGGGTTAGGGTTTCAGGTACAAGGTTCGAGTTTTGGTTTCGGGTTTAGAAGACGATATTGTGGAAATGGTTTTGAAAACAATGTAGGGTGGTTCGATTTTTGTCTGTGGTGATAAGATATTATTATGTGATTGGAGGATATTAGTATGAGATGTATGGATATTAGTCTGCGATGGTCAGATATTCGTCTGTGTGTGGTGGGTATTAGTCTGTATGGTGAGGATATTATTTACGATCTGAATGTATATTGGTCTTAGGCGATGAGATATTGGTCCGGGTGTTGTGGGTATTTGTTATGGTGAACGGATATTATTCTAGGTGGTTTGGATTTGTTTTGTATGGATGTTTATCTGTGTTTGTTTTGAAATTTAGTTTAATAAGCGATTAAGATTTAGAGTTTATGTGTAATTGGTATTAGTTTGTGATGTTCAAATATTAATCTGTGTGTGGTGGGTATTAGGGTTCAGGGTTCAAGCTTTGTGTTTAGTGTTTAGGGTTAGGGTTTCAGGTACAGGGTTCGAGTTTTGGTTTCGGGTTTAGAAGACGATATTGTGGAAATGGTTTTGAAAACAATGTAGGGTGGTTCGATTTTTGTCTGTGGTGATAAGATATTATTATGTGATTGGAGGATATTAGTATGAGATGTATGGATATTAGTTTGCGATGGTCAGATATTCGTCTGTGTGTGGTGGGTATTAGTCTGTATGGTGAGGATATTATTTACGATCTGAATGTATATTGGTCTTAGGCGATGAGATATTGGTCCGGGTGTTGTGGGTATTTGTTATGGTGAACGGATATTATTCTAGGTGGTTTGGATTTGATTTGTATGGATGTTTATCTGTGTTTGTTTTGAAATTTAGTTTAATAAGCGATTAAGGTTTAGAGTTTATGTGTAATTGGTATTAGTTTGTGATGTTCAGATATTAATCTGTGTGTGGTGGGTATTAGGGTTCAGGGTTCAAACTTTGTGTTTAGGGTTAGGGTTTCAGGTACAGGGTTCGAGTTTTGGTTTCGGGTTTAGAAGACGATATTGTGGAAATGGTTTTGAACACAATGTAGGGTGGTTCGATTTTTGTCTGTGGTTTTTGAGAATTTATGTTGGTAATTATATCCAACATTTAACAAAATATTATCCATTTTGCTACAAACCAACATCTTTCCCTAAATATTATCTAACCCTAAGTTCAGTTTTACAAATCTAAAATAAACTTTTCTTCCTTTTCCCTCATCGTCTTGGTCATCACTTTCTTCATCCTCAATTTCTTGGTCCTCATTTTGTTGTTGTTGTTTGGCACATTTAGGCCTAAAGGTTTCGCCTTCTGATGTGGTCCTCATTGCAGTTGATTTAGTTCTTGTCATTATGATTTCCCTGCCCAGTAGAATATCCTGACATTAGCTAATCAATAGCTGGACTCCACATAACGAATACCCTAACGATCAGAAGTAATATCAAACAAGTCATATCCAAATATATCAAACAATTATCCAGGCAATTCACAAAAGATATCATGGTCGACCAAAACCAATATCAATGTAGGAATATCCAGATATATCAAACAACTATCCATGCAATCAAAAACTGATATCCTGCCCGAAAAGAACCAATATCGGAACGCACACAAAACATATCCACAAAACCCAAAAAACAAAGCAACCCGGATCTAATCAAATCCACAAACAAAGCAACCCAAACCCAGATCCAGTCACATCCACAAACCCAGAAAACATATCCGCTTAATCCAAATATATCAAACAACTATCTAGGCAATTCACAAATGATATCATGGTCAACCAAAAACAATATCAATGTAAGAATATCCAGATATATCAAACTACTATCCAGGCAATTAAAAACTGATATCCTGCCCGAACAAAACTAATATCGGAACGCACACAAAACATATCCACAAAACCCAGAAAACAAAGCAACCCAGATCCAATCAAATCCACAAAATCCATAAACAAAGCAACCCAGACCCAGATCCAGTCACATCCACAAACCCAGAAAACATATCCACATAATCCACAAAAGAAAGCAACCCAAATCCAGTCAAATCTAAGTTACCAGAAAACAAATCCATCAAACTCATACAAAAAACGCAGAAAAAGAAAAACCCAGATCTAGTAAAAACCATGAAACCTTAACTTCAAAAAACGCAGAAAAAGAAAAACCCAGATCTAGTAAAAAGACAAATACCCAGATCCAATAAAACAACTATCCAGGAAAGTGAAAACTGATATCATGCTCGAACAAAACCAATATCAATACAAACAGAACTAATATCGGCACAAACAGAACTAATATCGACACGAACAAAACTAATATCGGCACAAACAGAACTAAATATCGACACAAACAGAAAGCCATTCCACAAAACCCAGAAATAAAACCCACAGAAGAACGAATCATGCAACCCTAACTCAAATCTGTCCAATCGAAAACTAATATCCACAAAACTATGCTTGAAACCTTACTTGATCAAGAACCCGAGTTCCCTGCAAAGCGCCGCCGCCGAGATCGCTGTTTCGTCGCCGCCGACAAGATCGCTGCCGCCGAGATCGCCGCCGTCGAGTTTGCTGCAAGGTCGCCGCCGCCGAGATCTCCGAGTTCGCTGTAAGGTCGCCGCCGCCGAGATCTACAACTTCAGAACTCCGACTTCGCTGCTTCGTCGCCGCCGCCGAGAACGCCGAGTTTGCTGCTTCGTCGTGGCCGCCGAGATCTCTGCCGCCGAGTTCGTGGCCGCCGAGTTGCTGCACCGCGGCCGTTCGTCTGCGTTTGGGAGAGGAGGAAAGGGAGAGAGAAAGAGAGAGAGGAGGGGAAAACCAAATGGGCGGAGAACTGAAAAGGGGTAGGTTTAGGGTATTTTTTATTTTGGTTTTTGAATTAGTGGGCCCAACGGGCCCCGCAAGCCGCTGTGGCTTTGCCCAGCCGATGAAATCGGCTCATTCTCTCCTCCACCGATGGATGCAGCCTTGGCGACGTGGAGGCCGATCCGCCCCTGTTAGCATCTCCTAACAAGTGCCCTTGTTAGGAGCATAACTAGATTGCAAGGGCAGAGCTGGATGCATTCCTTAGGGCTGGAAGAAGAAAAGAAATGGGGGCCGCGGTTCGAGATCGGTGCCGGGCTCTTGGCTGCATTGCGTCCCCGAATTTTGGTTGAATTTTCCCATACAAATTTCAACTTAGGAGTCGTGTTGACTGGCGGAAAAAAAAAAAAAAAAGAGGGAGAAGGGGGAGGTGCTTTGGAAAGTAAAAAGTGGTGAACTTTCCAGTTATATGGTTGGTTCTTGTACTTCTCCCAACTAACTACCAACAAAGTAACAATGGCAGCCATTGAAAGTGACCCAGTGTTGGTGATGCATGCAGCACTTGTGAATGTGAAATACTGAAATGGATTATGAAAAGTGTCATAGTCGTTGGCAATGGGTGAACTTCTCTAAGATCGCTAATGAGATTCGTCGTCAATACATATAAAAAAAGGAAATGTTGATCTCATAAGTATCCACAACTTGCAGAGTTGTTGATTCATATTCACGTGAGGACAAAGCACGATCGTGCTTCAGGTAACCCAACATGTGATTTCTATAAGCACATCATTTCATTAAGTGAAACAGAGGAAAAAGCACGACTTTGCTTTTGAAAGCTCGTGTCGTGCTTCATCTCAAGAGCTCCCTCCATATAAGCACGACCTCATGAGGGTGAATCACAACCGTAATTTTTCATGCTTCTAGTCGTGATTCTCACTAGAAAACGCATTGCCTGAATATTTGGTAAGTCACGGCTATGAATCGCAATGGTTGTCGCGGCTTTCTTCACTTTGCTCTCTTTTCTCCTGTTTGACCTCCAAATACTCACTCTTAAACCTCATCAACATACTAGGACATGAAATATGAAAAGAGAAACACAACCCATCGTAAAATAGACATAGAAATGGACAATTCAAGACCAAACGATCAAGATATGAGGATTAAAACACATATAATTAAGCACTTATCAGTTTTTTTTATAATGGCGATTTTATTAAAGACTGAAAAAGTAACAAGGTTCAGGAGAGCTGGACCCTGAACACGGGTAGAGTTGAATACAGGAAAACAGAAAAAGGATAAGAAAACACGCAGAGAAGGAGAAACACAAGAAACACAGAAAAACAGCCCGACGGACGAGGCCGTCTCCGCTGAAACAGGGGAAGAAACAAAAGGACACGGAGAGGGAAAGACAAGTCAGAGACTGGGCAAAGCATCTGCAATCCAAGCAGAGGCAAGGTCTTTGTCGGTCTTGGAGTGAGCCGAGAGCCAACAGATGACTACTCGAATAACCTTATGGACAATCACTTTAGGCGTACAATGGGAGTTCTTAAAAACACTCTGATTCCGTTGAAGCCAAACTAACCAAAAAATGGCATGAAGAATGCAAAGATTGAACCAATCATCAATAGTGTTGGGAGCCATCGAGGGTCGATCGCTAAACATAGCAGAGACTTCACCATCCAAGTTGCCAATTGAGTTCTTAGCCATTTTGATGCGGCTCCAAACTTCTTGAACGAAAGAAAGCACATTTAATGAAGAGATGATCTGCACTCTCCTCGTCACTGCAGCAGAGGGCACAATGATTGGCAAGGGCCAATCCTCTTCTTTTCAATATGTCCAGAGTGCGAACTTTCTTGTACCACAAAGTCCAACAGAAGAAACAGATTTTACTCGGTATAAATGGTTTCCAAATAGCAGAAGCTTCAAAGTTCTGAATACCAGGGAAGCTCTCACGGATCATCTGTCTGTAAGTGGAATTGACTGAAAAGGAACCATCTTGCTTAGGAGACCAAGAAATCCTGCAAGGACTGTTAGCATAGAGATGCAAGTTTCTGTTGTTTAAAAGATTAAAAAGTCTCACTCTCTCTATCCGCTTCACCTCTCAAGGAGAATCGTAAATCAATGTTCCAATTTGCCTCATTATTAGAGAAGGAGACCACATCAGCAATCCGAGCACCAGGAAAAGAAGCAGCAACAGCCACTCTAGGGAAGTCGACATCGAAATTAGGGTTTGAGGTCCATCTGTCATACCAGAAGGAAATGTGGCCTCCCCCACCAGGATCAATATGGGCATATTTCCAGAACACAGGATATTCCTTCGCAATATTAGCCCACATGGAGCTCGAAAAACCAGAATTGGTGTTAGAGGTCTGCCACGAGGAGAGATCATTCGGAAATTTGGTGTTGATCAAGGTTCTCCACCAACTATTCTCTTCAGTTGCAAACTTCCACAACCATTTAACAAGGAGGGCAGAATTAAACGAGGCAAGGTCACAAAGGCCAAGACCACCTTTAGATCTTGGGGTTTTGCAAAGAGTCCAGTTAATAAGAGGAGATTTCCGAGATTCTCCCACCCCATTCCAAACAAAGTTTCTCTAAATAGCTTCAAGATCCTCAATAACCTTTTTAGGAGCTTTAAGAAGAGAGAAATAATAAACAGGTAAACTAGTAAGGACTGCCTTATTAAGAACGAGTCTGCCACCAGTTGAAAGGTATTTACCCTTCCAACCATCCAGTCTTTTCCTGAAATTTGCTATGATCGGATCCCAAGTCGAGATGGCATTAGGCTTAGCACCAAGAGGATAACCAAGATACTTGGGCGGATTGCTGCTCCATTTACACCCAAATATGCCAGCATAGAAACTCGGTTCAGGGACACCACCCACAGTGTACATAATGGATTTGTCAAGGTTGATCTTTAAGTCCTGTAACCGATTGGAAACATACTAAGGTAGCCAGAATGCTAATAACTTGCTCGTGGGAGACATCGCATAATATGAGGGTATCATCAGCGAATAGAAGATGGGTGACCTCTCATTGCTGTTGACTTTCATTCATGAAGAAACCATTAATCTTGCCAACCCCTTTCAGCTTAGAGATCATAAACGACAAAATATCCGTTGTCATAAGCTTTCTCGATATCAAGTTTAAACATAAGTCCCGGTTTTCTGCTTTTTCTCCTGCTATCTACTAATTCATTAGCAATGAGACCCGCTTCAGCAATTTGTCTACCTTTAACAGCAGCTTGTTGTGAAACAGAAACCTAATCAGGGAGCAAGTCACTTAGACGCCTGGAGAGGACCTTATTAATAAGCTTGTTGAAGCTTCCCAGGAGGCCAATAGGTCTTAGATCCTTAACATCTTCTACTACATCTTTTTTCGGAACAAGGCAAATAAAGGAGTGAGAGGCAGACCTCGGAAGGCGACAGGAAGAATGGAAGTGCATGAAAGCATTAAGAATGTCAGCCTTGATTTGGTTCCAGCATCTCTTGTAGAAATCATAGTTAAACCCATCAGGGCCAGGAGCTTTACAACCATCACAATCATTCAAAGCCTCCCAGATTTCATTCTCATCGAAGGGGTGACAAAGACTTATGCAGTCAGAATCTTTGAGTTTCCAATCGAAGTACGAACTGGGAAAAGACCGGAGAGTTAAATGTTCTTTGAATAAGCCCATATGGAAATCCAGTATACCCGCTGCGACTTCCTGAAAACCTTCCAACACAATGACATGAACTTTGATGCGGTCAATAGTGTTGAATTTCCACCTATAATTAGAAATGCGATGGAAGTAGCTCGTGTTGCTGTCTCCTTTGTGAAGCCAAGTATCCCTAGACTTTTGCCTCCAACAAATCTCCCGCATATTGAGGGCACAGGAGAGTTCCACCTTCAAAACACATCTTTCAGTGATTTCATCTTCTTCAAGAGTTCTAGTTTCTTCAACAACGTCAATTCCGTGAATTTTACCCAGTAAATCGTCCACTCTCTTGTGAATGTTGCCAAAAACCTCTTTATTCCAGATTTTGAGTTTATTTTTGATGACTTGCAATCTCTTGCACCAAAGGAAAGAACCCCCAGATCCTTGGATAGGAACCATCATCTAGTTGACAAGTTCATCAAAGAAACGCCTGTCTTCAAGCCACATGCTTTCAAATCGCCAAGGCCTTTTAACCCTTCTGTCATCACCCCATTTGAGTAAAAGAGGATTGTGATTCGATTCGACGCGTTCAAGGGCTGTAAGAGAACAATCAGGGAACGAGAAATCAAAGTCAGGGGACACAAAAACTCTGTCAATGCGAGACAAGGAAGGAGTATCAGAGCCTCTACTCCAAGTAATTAAAGTGACTTCCTTTAAGGGGAAGCTTAAGAAAAAAGTTGCAGTCGATGAATCCGTTAAACTCATTCATAAGATCAAAATCCCTTCTTGCCCCAATATAATCATCATGGTATCGAACAAGGTTAAAGTCACCTCCAAAACAAATAGGGGAACTAATACGTTGGCAGAGCTGATGAAGTTCACTGATAAAAGTAATTTTGTCCACTTTATCATGTGGGCCATAGAAAAAGACTAGATGCCAAGATATAGAATAAGCTAAGCCCAAAAATTCCAAGACAAGAAACCAGGTGCCCTCACTAGATGAGAGCAATTGAAAAGCCTGTTTGTCCTAGTAAACAAGAATGCCCCCTGAACTTCTGTTGGCATTCTTAGCAACCCATCCCATATCTCTTCTTCCACTTAGACCAGCTACCATAGAGTCATTGCAATCCGCCCATTTGGTTTCAAGAAGAGAAACAATATGAGGTTTGTGCTTCGAGATTAAACGCTTGACCCTACCTCTTTTAGCAAGATCACCTAAACCTCTAACATTCCAGAAGTAAACTGAGAAACCCATATCCTTAATGATGAAGTAATCGAGCCACCCTGCTAACACTTTTCCTTGGACCTTTAGGAGGAGATGGTTGAGGGCCAAGTGTGTGCTTTTCCATTTCTAGTTTAGATCGAGGGGTTCTCACCCTCTTACTGTACATTTCCTTTGCGGTTTCTCTGATCACCTTTTCAGTAGTATCCATCCCTTCGTCGTGATCCAGAGAGAAAATGTGACTCAGATTCACACTTGATTCAACTAGGGATAAGAGATCAAAAGGATATGCCTCCAAATTCCACCTGACATCTTCGGTTTCTTGAGAGTAGGAAGGCAGTGGAGCTCTTCAAGGACAAGGTTGTGAGATGGAGATTGGTGATCCACAGAATCTGGAACTTGAGATGCGAGGAAGAGGTTTGCTTCAGAGCAAGGATTATGCCTTCCGAGCTTTACTAGCCAAAAAAGCTCTCAGGCTAGAAGTATCATCAAAGTACAAGAGAGAGTGACAAAGTGCATCGCTCCCAATTTGAGATATAGTTCTTCCCTCGTTAAGAGACAATAAGAGTCGTTTTTTGGACGTAGTATTAAACATGATTCACATAAGCTCCATACAACCGATGATTAATAAAAGTAGAAACAACCATAAAATAATATACCTCTTCTCCTCTAATTCTTGTTATTGTTATTATTCTTTTGTGTATATTACTAAATATATTTCCACCTTTAGAATAATTATTTATAACATTTTTTTATTGTCAACAAAATCCAAACAATTTTTTTTTCAAATAAAACTAGAAAAACTCCAAAAATTGAAAAAACCAGAGTGATAAAATGACAAGCGGTCACCTAGGTCATTCCACATTACTCAATTCCAGCAACGTGTCCGTTTTTCATTAGTGCGTAAGCTCCTTCGCCCACGCAGTCACCACAGCTCCAATCCCACGGTTTCTTATTTTTCGCTCAGTTCCGGTCCATCCTCTCCATTCTACATTCTCTTCGGTCCGCACCTGTAAAGCGCAAAGATTCCGGTAGCGCTTGAATTGAATCGACGATGACGGAGGCCTTCATCAGGAAGAAGCCCGGCATGGCCAGCGTGAAGGACATGCCGCTGCTTCAGGACGGTCCTCCGCCCGGCGGATTTGCCCCCGTGAGGTATACTCGGAGGATCCCGACGAAAGGTCCCAGCGCCGTCGCTATCTTCCTCACCGCTCTGGGCGCTTTCTCCTACGGCCTCTACGAGGTTGGGAAGGGTAACAAGATCCGCAGGTCAGTTTTCGGCGGCTTGAGAAGGTTTTCAATCTTTGTTTTCAGTTTCGTGTTGCATTCGGGATTTTACCCATTTGGGTCTCGCTGAGCGAATTCATTGCCGATCGTGGATAAGTTATGAGAGCGTTTTGGAGGCGGATTTTGAGTTTGGATTGATTTCTAGAATTGAAGCTCTTAATCAGCTTAGTATTGGGAGAGATAATCATTTGTCCCCTCTTTTCTTTCTGTTTGGTTCTCAAGTTGTTGATGTGTGGCGGTTAGGTTTAACTACAGTTGATTTGTTGATGGTGGCAGTATGATGGAACCTTACGATAGAAACTAGGCTTCATGAAGAAGGCTGGTGTTCCAGATGCTAGATTGTTCCTAAGCATGATGTTAGTGAATCAGAATGAGACCAGACATAGAGCTTTAGGCAAAATACATGGCTTTGTGCGGTATGGTATACCAGATGCTGCATTTTTAGAAGAAGCGAGTTCTTGATGAAGCAGTTTTGCTTCCTTGTCTAACTAGCTTGACCCTGGTTTGGCATGCATCCCTTGGAAGGTATAGCGGCGAGAAAGGCAAGGAAAGGTTGTGTTCAGTCCAAATAGATGACAAGGGATGGTTGGAAATCTTAGCCCTTTTGTGGATGGTTGGTAGAGTTGATATGGTTTTACTTGGATTTTGGAATGATATACCGAGAACGAAAAGGAAGGCATGTGATTTTGTGGGTTTCTGCTGATTCCTTGATTGTTTACTCCTCTTTAGGCGATCTGATGCGGAATTGGTAGGTGCTGATTTCATTCAGATAGACAGAAATTAGAGAATCGTGGAGAGAAACATTTCATATATATGCATTTTTGTTAGTGACATGGAACCATTCATCATTTGCCTGCCAATTTGCACTCTTAATGCCCTATTTGTTGTTGGTATATATGGTCATTATTTGATTTGCGCTGTATGCTTAAACTAAGTGGTGTGATGACGAGGTTTTGCCTTTTCTTTTGTACTGGGGAAGTGCACGATCTCTGAATTGCAAGGGTCTTAATTTCCATCTGCAGGGCACTCAAAGATGAGAAATACACCGCTCGGATGGCCATTCTTCCTCTCCTGCAAGCAGAAGAAGATGAAAGGTAATGTGCCTGTCTCTGCCGTTAGTCATGCTTGAGCCTGCTGGGGTGAGAAACCACTGAAGTATTTTTCCTGGGTCACATTTCCTTTTCAGATTTTCCAAGGAATGGAGGAAGTATCTAGACTATGAGGCTGAAGTAATGAAAGATGTGCCTGGTTGGAAAGTTGGTGAAAGTGTCTACAACTCTGGAAGATGGATGCCACCTGCTAGCGGTGAACTCCGCCCAGATGTTTGGTGATACTTCCTCTCAAATCCTCTTCTGGTTCAACCCCGTTTGTCCTGCAGAGTTGTGTCTCTAGTGATGCTAGTTGCTTTTGTCACTTGATCTTTGTTCTTTCTTGTGAAATAAAGTTCCTAGAAGAGGAAACTTTCTGACGATGATGAAAATACAACCAATGTGATAGTTGTTCTGCCTACATGATTTCCTCCAAAAATTCACAATGGATCTTCAAGTTTTGGGGAGTCTTGAGTTGAGCCGATGCTGTGGCGTTAGGAGGGGCAGCACGTCCATTTTCACATTGCTGTTATAATGTTATTACTTCAGTTACCTTCTTGCTTCATCCATAAGTTGAACGGTTCATTTGATGTTTGGCTTCTTCCTAGTCCAATTTCAGTGGCTAGTTCACTAGTACTATTCTATTCGTATCATTGTGTCTTCCTCCAGCTAGTGTTTATTGAAGATCCGAATCCGGTTGGCTCTTCATGGTTTTGTACCCTATCCAACTGGTTTCCAGAGGGGATTATGCCCGGCTCTTGGATCGTTGTCCGTGTCGTGGTTGTTTGAGGTAATCAGTAAGCAAACTGTGGACTCTTTCTGAAATAGCACACTGACCAGACCACTGCACAATAGGTAGATCCTAGGTGTAGTTACCATAGATTTGACCAATGCACTGCAGTATAGTTTTGCAACTGCATAGAATATTGTATCTGCAAGTATCAGTTTGAGAACATGATATCTTCACAGGGGTATCATCCAGGGGTTTGAAGGAAGGGTAGTGGTACAGGTGAACAATATGTATCTGTTTCCGGGAATCGGGTTTGGCGCTGCTATCCAGGTCGAAGGTGATATCGGACGGGATGATGCAGGCAGCGGCGGGTGCTTGACGGCATGTCCATAGGAGGAGGAAATGGGAAAGGGGTAGTGTATCCTGATATATCCGGAGGGATAGAACGGTGAAAGAGGCGGAGGCAGTGGTGGAGGCGATCGAAGAAGATGTGGCGGAAGGGCACAGAGGAAGGCCCAAGGCTCGGGAGCTCCGGCGGCTGGAGGATGAAGAGATTATGGAGTACGTGAAGAAGAACATGTGGAGCCCCGAGTATGCGAAAATGGTGTCCAAGTACGTATGAACTATAAATGAACGAAGAAGAATTGTGTAACAAGAAATAACTTGATAAGAATTATTATGCAATAATTAATCTGGAGAATTGTATAACTACAAACAAGTATCAGTGGAAGATTATATGCAACCTCTGGAGCATATTAGTAGGGAGGTACAGAGCAGTACGCCAAGATGAGCCGAATGGATGAGCCACAACACGAAACATCTACCTCGTCCTCTCCTCTCAGGTCATCGGACGAGAGCCAGTCGAGCCAAAAACAAGCGATGAACTGATTGAAAAATGATGGTTGCTTCTGAGTTGATGACAGATCATTTGATTGGCCTGCAGCCACCACTCTTTGGCATAAGCTGTGCTGGTGCTTTGAACCAGGAAACTAAAGAGGCAAACTTGGATACCAATCCTGTCTAGCTTCTTTCTTACACATGAAGCAACAAAAATACCTTAATACAACCTAAATCATCTTTCCACAGCACTAGATTTCCCATTATCACATCACATGTATCTAAGAATATGCACAGATATTACGTATTCTACATGCTGCTAGGTTCATCGTCCGGTAGTAGATAGAGCAACAACCTAAGCTAAGCAGGAGTAGTATACACACTAAGAGGAAGGTTGGGGTATTTAACATTACTAGCAAGATCAGACGGGTCGTCCTGTTCCGCCTTCTCTATAGCCATCAGCGATGCTGGAGTAGCTGAAGATGTCGTTTGACATTTCCCAGCCCCAATCCTGCTTCCTGTGAACATCCAACTGCAGCCACCTGTTAATCCTGACGTAATGCTCCCTTATCTGCCCATTCCCAAGCAAACTGGTCACGACCGTGTAACAGCACTCGTGACCGCCCCACACCTGATCGTCAGGATCTGCAGTTTGGCTTCCATCGGGATGGAAGTATCGGTGCATCAGGGGTTTCTTGCCTTGCCAATAAGGGTCAAGGTTTCGCCAATACTCTGGAGCTGCCTGTGCAAGACGCATTGACATCAGTAAAAGAGCTTTCAGCTGGGCAAACACATAAGTTAACTGCAGACAGACTCATTCGCTTGAGGGAGACATACTAACCTTGGTAAAATGGAACTCCCAAGCATGATCACAGAGATCAGCCCTCCCAATACGATCCTGAAACAAGAGAAATAAGATGAACCCATCATTGTCGGTAATCATGCTCGCAAGGGGCAGCGAACTTAATTCTCAATGATGGAGGAGAAAATCGATTACTCACCCGCTTACCATCCGTAACGGATAAGGAGTAGACAGCCAACTTCGACAGTCCCTGGGTATGCAAGAGTCGCGGTAAATGTGCTTTGCCTAGCAATAGCTCCTCACACTAGCAAAGCAACGCAGAAAGCCAATTAACTACTTCCATACATCAAATGTTCATAATCCACAGACCTCAATAACGAAATCATTGACAACACAAGTCTCCAACAGCAAATGGTACAGTACTAGGTTTTCCCTGAATGAGGCGGTAATAATTTTACAGTAAAACAAGTTCTGCTATCCGAAGTATATCATGTCAGTAAACAAATGGGTTTCAGCCTGATCGAAGTGCAAGAAAAAGCTTCAAACCCTAAGAACCTGGGGTAACTTTTCTAATCAGTAAATTAGGCTAAAATCACAGAAATTCTAAACCCTGATTCGCGGATTACAGCATGGAGAGGCAATACATGCAGACATACAAAACGAAGAATTAGGGTATGGAAAAGACACAATTCACAAGGATGATTAGTGCCTAATTACGGAGTGATTGGGCAAAACCTCCAGAAATGAGGAAAATGGAAGGGTAAACGGAGCAGAAGGAAAACCTTGGAGCCCCAGAGATGGTCAGCGGAAGCGATCGAATTCCAGCCGTGAGAAACGAGTAACGAGAGTGCCACGCTGCGTGCGTCGAGGCTGCCCAGAATCTTCATCATCAAATCAAATCCCAGCACCTCCAATGGGTTCTGTAATCCCAGAGCCGAACAACAAGAAGAAGAAGGAAAGGATGGGAAAATGGAGAAAGATCCTTCATCTTCTTCTTCTTCTTCTTCTTCTTTGTTTACTACCGATTCCTTAACGATCCATCTATTCCACTCCTTCATCCTCTTCCCGCGCTTTCTTCGTCCCTCCTCCTCCGCAGCAGCAGCCAGAGCCACCACTTCCATATCGCAATGCGGTGGTGGAGATTGCTTCTACAGGAAGTCTTTCATGCATCAACACCCCCGTCTGATTTATACCACGGAATTCAAGAACTGATTCCTTTCTTTGTTTTATATTTTAACCTTTTTTACCTCTGGCTGAGGGAAAGAGGAGCTGTCGGTCAGCAGCCGGGGATTTTAGAGATAATTAAGAGCTTAACAAGAGAAAATGAAAAGAAGAAAGGGAAAAGGCGAAAAAGACAAACAAAAAAAACAAATTATTACAGAAAAAAAACGAGCAAGTGGCCGTTATTGGGAATGAGGATATTATTTTTTTATATATCATTTTGTCGTGTAGTGGTGGTAAGTAGATATGGGTTTTGGCGGGTGGCGGGTACGTGGGGCCCATTAGGTGGGCTGAACTCAATACTAGAACCTACGAATGGCTTTTTGTTTGTTTTGGGGGTGATGTCCACGTCACTCTTTCGTCTGACGTGGCTGCCACCGGGCTTTTGTGATTATTGGGCTGGATTAACTAGTAGGCTGGCTTGTCCAACCTTGTGCAGTAAAAGGAAAATCAATTGTTTATCAACATATGGCAAAAAAAAAAATTGTTTATCAACATAGTCATTGGGCCAAATCGAAATGGGTTTCCAGCCCACACATCAAGCCCGTTTTGTATGATCTTGACCATTCCGCTCCCATTAAATAAACAGGTGGCAAATTAGAAACGCAAGGGGGGAAAATTAGAATTTATGACAATTTGTCTGGACTTTGTTAGGGCTTACAACATGACATCTAATGACAAGTGTGCCAATTGAACATATAACAGTGAGATATACAAGGTTAGTAGTACTAAACGTGGAGTTACTATCTAATCAATAAAGAATGATTTTGAGTACTAGTAGATAAAAAAAATTATGTACATACTTAATTCGGTTTTAAGAACAATCATGTAAGGAAAGATAGCATGATAAAACTTAAAAAAAAATTTATCGATGTTGTGATTCAGGATGGCAAATATGACTATTAAGGGGAAAGTTAACATGTATCTAATAGTGAAATAGTGAATAGAAAGCGAGAAATAGCTATTAAGGGTATTCTTATAATAACTTTTTTAAATGGAAAAGTTGTAAGTAATTTTTTTAAGATGGACTTTAGATTTAACTAATTTGTATGTTTTTATAGTAAATACTAGTTTCTAGTGAAAGTTGAGGGAAGTATAAGAGTGTGTACGCTTTTACTAAAATTTAAATTTAAGAAAACATTTTAAAAGAAAGGGAGAAGCAAACATGATAATTTACATAAGGTCTTAGGTCATATATTTGTTTATAGAAAAATGACTGCTTTGATTTGGCACTAATAGTCTATTGATCATAAACCTCATCATCATGCATGACACATAAAAGTTCCATGCATGAAATTAGTATTTGTGAAATCATACCGAATTGATGATTCCACCGTAAAAATATTCTACAGATAAAATGACTTTTAGCGAATGAATCACTAATGAATCATGGTTTCAGTACAACAAATCCTACTATACCTTTTCCAGTACAACCCCAATTCGCTTTCGGAAGAAACTAATAAATTCCAAAACTCAAAATATTAAACCACATTTTTTGACCTAACTAAAATAGACAAATATGAAATTTCTTCCTCGTTTCACTATTCAGCAGCTCCAGTGTTCAAGCTAGTTCCACAAAATGCCACTTATGTCCTATTTTTTTCAATATTCCATTTTTATCCTATCATATGTTAGCTATGTGTCCTTTATCTCCTGACACTTTCATTGACTGTTTAGATAACAGTTGATCTGATAGTCCTCTTAAGGACATTGACCAATAGTGATGTGGGCAGACAAGCGGTGGACACATAGATGTCACGTTAGCAGACATATCATAATTTTAATTAAAAAATAATCAATATTTATAATAATAATCCCAAAATTAAAAGAACAAAATAAATTTCCATCGGCAACGACGTTCCATAATAAGTAGCGGTAGTGTTTTAGGCCCAACGAAGGCGAGGAGAATAGAGGAGGATGGGAGAAGAGGAGCGTTAGTGGATCTGGGTTCGCAAGAAGGGAGGTCGCCCATCTGAGTTCCTCAAGTCGACACCATCGTGATATTTTGTGTTGAAGGACGAAGATCTCTGTCGCTGGCATCTTCGTCTGCAAACCCTGCTCCGTCGTGGGGTATTAAGAGAGAATAGATATGGTCTTCGTTTGGTCCATTGATTCCCGATCGACGAGGCTGTGGGTGCATCTGTAGATCGACGCACAGATGGGAGATACGGAGATCGTCGTGGTGGTGGAAGTGAAGAAGCAGAGACGATTTTGAAAAAGTTGGCGGCTTCCGGAGAAGAGAGATAGTTATCGTGGATTAGAAAGTGATGAAATCATTAATCATATATGTATTTTCTGGGTTCTTGTCCATCTATATTCGTCCAATTCACACCTCAAATCATCGTCGTATTTCTCGGAATCAGCTTTGTTCTCTTCCTTTTTCGAGCGAAAAGAAGAAAAAAATTGGCTTTGAGGAGGCTGGCCACGTGCCCACGCCGATGATCTGGAGATTTGTCGTTCTCTAGTAGCAAAGTTGGCGGGTCCAATGGGCGATTGCATTATGGGACTCGTGATGAAAGGGGCGATGAGGAGAGTCTGGTTCTATTGTGCAAAAGAAGATTTGCCAAGTTACTTGGACAAAATTAAGAAAAGGGAGAAGAAAATCTCGGTGTCCAATCTTTTGGATTTGTTCTTTAATTATTTTAAATTCCACGTCAGATGCCAGCTCAATACTAACTATACTTTCCGTTAAATCTAACGGTCAACGCTGGTCAACATTGATGGAAAAATAGTTCAGGACATAAATGGAATATTGAAAAGAATAGGACACAAATGACATTTTTTGTTCATAGTTCGGGTGTTGTAGTGGTATTAGCCCTAAAGTTTTAACAAATCTTGTAAAGTTTTTTAATTACATTCTTAGGAAGGAGGAACATTTGCATCTAGTATTGAATGAACCCCACGAATACTGAAGAAGTCAATTGAAGTCTCCCTCCATAAGGCAATTTCTTTGCTCTTCAAGTTTTCATATTCTTTGTAAGTCTATCAATCAAATAATCCTTCCTTATTTGATAGGTTACTAGACAGAAGAGGAAGTCACAAGTACCTTTACTGGAAGGATACTCCCTTGCTCCTTCTGAGACCCAATCACAGACTTACCCTTCAACACCCAAACTATACCATCATTCTTCACACACCCACATTCAACTCCAAATAATTTGCAGCCCTGACAAACTTGAGGCAGGAGACAGTATTCCACAACCACCTTCAACTGACCCTATACTCATATGGCCAAATTGTAACATGATCAGGGAAATCTTCAGAAGATTGCAATTCCACCAGAATCGTTGCATGGCCAAATCTACCACCCACTCTTGTAGAATGATCCATTCCCAAAGGAACTCCTATCATATCCAACTCCCAGTTCAACTTAAACACTGAAAACAATCGGACTTCCATTTTCTTCCCAGACGTGAAATAGAGGCAGAGCAAGGATGAGCTTAAAAAGAGAAAAGGAACAAAAGGGAGGAGGAGATGGCGACATGTGATGAATTTTTGGAGCAGAGAGAGTGCAAACGAAGCTAGCGAAGATCAGAGTTAGATTATATAGGTGATTTTCAGTTTCCACAATTACATTGATAAATTACTATATACCACCAAATAACAATTGCAATTCTGTCATAAAAAAATTTAAAATTAGTACAAAGACACACATATTTTAAAAAACATGTACAAATTAGGCTAACATAGATTGACCCCTACCAAAGGTAAGATAACCTAACAGTAAGCTGTCGCGACAGTGAAGGTTTGGGAGTTGCAAATCCCAGGTTCGAATGCAAGCTAGGCCCGTTGGTGTTCTCGGAGGTATAGGACTGCTAGGGGCGAAGCCCCATTGGCGTCGAATTGAATGCAGGTGACCCCAAATTTAGTAGGACCCGCTGTCACAAAGCGGCACGTGGGGCTGAGGTTCCTTGGTAATAAAAAAAACATAGGTTGAGGCCTGATTTTAACATTGACCCACGACCAATTTATCGGGCCGTGTCAATGGTCCAAACCGGGTTAACAACCTTGGTGGACTGGTGACCAACTAACATCGTTTGTTAGCTGAGCGGCGACGGAAGCTAGCACAACAACGTTCATCTGGGAAACGGCCCTACCCCTGGTCCCCTGCGGCCTCCGCCCTCCCATCTAATGCGTTGTGTTCTTTGTTTCCCGTGATATGGATGATTCCTTGGAATTACTGCTTCTGATCTTCTTTCTTTTGTTCTTGATTGTTCTCCGTTTTTGAATTTTGCGAATTCAGCCTTGTGGTATTTGATCGAGGCTCAATTGCCTTGCAGAAACGCACTAGCCGTTTTGACACTTGTAGTCGGCAATGCGTTTTAGTCTGTCTATTTTGGGGCATTTTCTAAATATGTGCCCTTAGGTTGTGAAGCGGATTAAGATGTAGGATTCTCTCGTATTCTGTATGTTTACAACATTAACATAGCTGTACTTAGGGTAAAATGCACCTTCCATACCGCAAGACTGTACCTTCTACATCGAGGAATCTTCATATGGGTACTTCATTTCAAGGAATGGAGCAAACTGAAAGTTCGTTTCGTTTTCGATATATCTTTATACATTTGGCCGGGTAGTCTTGAATTTGATCTTCATTCCATTATGCATCTTTTTAGTTTTGAGATTATTGACCATATTTAATTGGATGACAGCAGTAGACAAAAATTGGCCGTTGAGTCTCTTTTGGTAATCTTACTAGCATTAGGGTCCTTAATATGTTTTTACCTGCCCATCTTACATTATCTTCCATGGGTTCATGAAACTTGGATGGTTTTACTTTTTGTTGTAGCTGGAAGAGTTCCGGAAGAAGAAAGCAGCAGATTGAGCCAAGAAAGCTGGAGCTCCTGCACAATCTCAAGCTTATGATGTTAACATAGAGGAGAAAGACCTTTGGAGGAAAAACCTCTGGAGACTGAACAAGTAAGGGTTACAGATTTAGATGGAGTTGTTACCTCCAGTGCAGCAGGTGCAACTTTTGAAATATCCAGTCAAAGAAGCAAGGGAGATCATCTTGCCACCAAAGTTGAACACAGTGCTTCAAAAGTTGTGAATGCTAAGCCATCTGCTTTAAACGATTTTACTACAGTATTTTTAGATATAGGTCAGAGAAACACTGAGAATAATGATCTGGCTAGATCTGATGCCTCAGGCGTAGGGAGGGACGATGTTAACAAGTATGGTCTGACAAATTCGATACGTGATTCTAGCACCCATGCTTCTGGCCGAGGGGTACTACCAGATGGGATTCTTGCTGGCCAGTCTAAGAATCCACAGGCTGCCCAGGGTTTTGATAGTAGTTTCTCCCGTTACAAACATTCCGGGACAGATGTGTTCCAACAAGAAGAATATAAAAGTTATTCATGGGATTTTATAGTTACAAATCCTGGTTCTCAAACATCTTCTCTTAACCAGAGTTCTATCTTCTCGAAATCAGAAGCTAAGCCTAGTATTGTCTTCCTCATCAAACTTTGATGTTGCTTGCAATTTATTTGACGCATATTCCTAGTATCCGATTCTTCTTTTACTCAAAGTCCACATTTTTTCTTGTATGTCTTGGTTTTTACAATTGATAGCTCAACCTAATACCAACTTGAACGTAGGAGGTTCAGGTGACGGAGTTGAGAAAGATGTGCGTGGAACATTGCAGACTAGTGATTCCACAATTTCAGAATTTGGGAAACGTGATTTTAAAAGTTTGGCTAGCTGGTTTCCTGGAGTGCATGGTGATTCTACTAAATTGTCTGAATCCACATCTAATTTAGGTGTCAAGAATTCCTCGAATCATGCATCACTATATGAAACTAATTCCAGGAGGTCTCGTCCATCTTTCCTAGATTCTATTAACGTGGCAAGGCCTACTCTGGCATCTCCATTCTCACAAAGCAAACCATATGAATCTTTCATTCCTGTTGCTACCAATTCAAATGGTACAGATGTTCAAGGGCCATCCACCCTTACTAAGCCATTTGTGGAGACTGAAACAGGACCTTTCTCAAACTCCAAGCCATCTAGTGCAACGAATGTGTATGAATATTCATGAAAGTCTACAATATCCTCTTCCAATGTGATTGATGTACCAAGATCATATACCAATGACAATAACATAGAGGGAAAACATGAGTTTTATGCCCCTCAACGAAATGAAGATTTTTTTAGCATTGGAACAGGTGTGCACACATACTTATATATGGTTGAAATGGCATCTTGCTTTATATATCATTATTCCTCACTTTTGAAATAGGCGTGTGTACTTCAAATTACTTCTTCCTAAATAGAAAAGAACACAACTCTGGCAATCATCCTGATAGCATTTTAGATTTCAGTTACTTCATTTCGTCTTTGTAATTCCTGATATACTAAGAACATATCGACTGGCCTTTCCATAGCAAGTTTGACCTAGTTATTGTTTAACTGATCTCGACTTTAGGCATTATGAACGAATTGAACAAATGACTATGGTGGCACTATGAGAATGTGATCATGTGAACTTGCCATTCATCCTCAATTCTTTAATCTTTTCCAGTTTTCTCTCGACATACAGAGCCGTTTAACACTATATAATAAAGTACTCTGTAATACTTTTAGTTCTCAAGAAAATAAAAATAAAATTGAAGGTTCCTTTGGAATGACCAAAACTAATCTTTTGTATTATTCTGGCCTAGACGTCTGATCCAATTAGGTAAAGCATTTGCTGAACTTTTGTTTCTAAGGAGAAAGTATAGAGTTGAACATTCCTTTGTTATGGCTACTAATCTTTTGTATACTTCATTAACTTGTCCGTTGGTGTTACTGCTTTGACGAAAGCTGCTTTGAGTGGCCTTATGTTAACAATCATTCTTGTTGCATGTGTTGTTATCTAACACATAGAAGATTTGACCCAAGAGAAATTTTCACTACAACGAGCTTTGGAAGCTTCACGTGCATTAGCAGAGTCATTGGCTGCCGAAAATACGTCGTTGACGGATACCTATAATCAACAGGTTGGTTTAACAAAGTAGATCTTTTTTGGTGTGAAATTATGTTATATTTTCTCTCTGCAGTTGACCTTGTTATGATTATAAAAATACATGATAAAATCTACTGTGGTTTTGAACTTACTAACTGACTACCTTTTTTTTTGTTTCTGGAATCTGAGTGACTATCTCTATGATGTAAACATTTGGTTTTCTTGTAGTTGAGTGACTGGGTGTAAGACACCCTTAGGGTGATGAATCCTGTAACTTTTTTGCTCTCAAAGTTACTGTTAAGTATTCACTTTAGGTTTGATAGAAGCTAGTAAGGCATTTAATTGAGTAATTATAACACACTTCCAGTGAAACATTAGGGCACTGAATTGGAGTCATTAGGATTAAATTTGAATTGGTGGCAAATATTGTATTGATTTAGAGAAACTCGAACAACCTTCATCTGCAACTTTTTGAAACAATAGGTGCAAGTAGACCACATATGGATTATTCTGTTTGAACTTGTTCTGCATCAGAGAGGCACTGTCAACCAACTAAAATCAGAGATGGAGAAGTTACAAGGAGAAATCAGGGCCCATTTGGTTAGTAATTTGATCTTTTAACTTTTTCTAAGATGTGAATGCCCTTTTAGACGTCTTTTGTGCATAGGGATACTTGCTGCATTACTTTGCTGTTTAGTGTGGAGAGCAGCGGAGATAAGTTGCTTACTCATCTTTTTACTCTTTTGATCTTCAAGAGTGCTGGATTCTAATTGTTCACGGGCAATTACTCAATGTTTCTATCTCATTAAGCCGGGTGAATATGCAGTTTGTTATTTGTGTGGTTCGATTTAGGCTTTCCAACTTGTTACTCGGGCCAAATCATATTAGTAGGATGCTTCAGCTATAAGATTTTATGCTACATTTTGGATCGTTTTGCTCTTAGGAAAGTTGTCTCTGGTTGTTCCCACTTACAAAGCGTCAATGCAATAGCTTTCACATCTAGGCTGTCTGGTTGCTCCTACTTATTAGTTTGTTATTGACTGCCAGAAGTTCCCTAGTTGAATTATCTCAATGTGTGGTGACTGGACAATCACACCGAACATGCATAAAGAATTAGTTGCTTAAAGAGTGAGGGAAATCATCACTCACTTTTTTCTCATTTCCAAGGAAACAGAAGTTTTTGATGGTACCGCATGCGATCCCATTAATCTTGCATTTGTAACTTGTATTATTATAGCATTGATCCCATTATTCTGTTGTTAAGTGCTTGTAGAGTCTCACAGCTCTGAATCTCTCAAAATTCCATTTATTGGGTGGTTATTTACCATTGTAATTATATATGATTGAGTTTGGCAGGTGGAACTTGAGTCTGTTAGTTGAGTATACAAATGCACAGCTTGAGTGCAATGGTGCTGATGAACGAGCTAAACTATTGGCTTCGAAAGTGATAGGTTTGGAAAAAAGGTATTGACTTGATTTTCTCTTCTGCATCGAAAGGCTTGTCCATAGATACTCCCCTCCGTCTTTCATTATCAACAAGGTCCATTGCTCATAGGTTTAGACGAATAAATGCATATGGAATTAGATCCCATTTATACAGAATGATGGTTTTACTTTTGTGTTCATGTTTTCAAATGGTAAATATTTTCCACCTATAGTTTCCATTCTTAGTCTGAAGGACGTCGTTTATTGTGTTGGTCCATCTAGTTGGTCCATCTGAAATTCTTCACCTTAAAGATATTTTATTTGCTAGTGGTGAACTCAAACGAAGACTGTAGTTAAATCTAATTGTTATTTTCATTATGTCTAACCAACGTAATGGAACCGTTGTCATTGCAGGCACTCATACTGAGGTCTAATGAGCTTAAGCTGGAGATGGAACTTGAAAACTCACATGCTGAGATTGCTTCTAGCAAGTATGATTTTATTTTATTTGATTGCAGATGAGATGTATGTGGCGTCTTTATCACACATTGGTTCTTCATCTCACTATTTTTTCTTTTCTATCTTCAAGCATGTTGTTCATACACTGTTGATCCATCAAGTGTAGTCAATCTAGATGCACGCTCACATTGCGAATTCGTATCTATATAATGTGAAGGGCCTTTGAGATCATGAAAATGTTTAGTTAGGAAGAAATTACACGTGAATGTATCTGCATTAGTGAACGAAAATGTTTTGACTTGCACTATATGTCCTCTCATGATGGTGTACTTAATTACTTTTAGAAATGGCCTTTGTTTGCCCGGCTAAAATTTGCAATCAGATAATTGTGTCTTAACATGTTTTTAATGGATTGTTGTGTCATAAGTTTGCTTTCACGTCAAGGTGTTGTGATCATAAAAAAAAATCAGAAAAGGCAAAAGGAGTTGGCATATTTCGTCATGTGGAAAGTGTTTGACAATCTTGCAGAAAGAAAATCTCCAACCTTGAGAGAGAACGCCTAGATCTACATTCAACTATTGATGCTCTTCGGGAAGGTATTCCCTCACTATATTAGTCCCTTATTTAATTGAAATGACAATTTTCTCTGCAATTGCTCATTTGTGTGCTTTATAATAGAGAAGAAACTTTTGTTATCTAAACTAAGGAAATCTTCAACGAGTGGAAAATCTATTGATGCCGGAAAAAGTACCACTGTTAAAAGGGATATGTTGACATCTACTGAAGACTTAGGTAAAGATACAATATCTTGTTTGAACATTTGTCCATACATTTATAGCCCATTTCAAATCCTGTGTCCATATGCAACCCTAAAAGGGTTGTCATGGTGGTAATAGTCAATTATAACATCCAAAGCATCTGGGTTCACACCTTGGAATCAACATTCACCTATGGATAATGAAAGAAAAATCAACCTTTGTCAACATTCTGGTTGTGAGCAAGTCACACTATCCAGTATCCACCTTGTTTGCATGTTGTAATGGCTTGAATTTTCAAACCTACTGTGTGTTTTTCATAACATTATGAAATGCTTGGGGTCTATTTTATGGTATTATGCAATAATATGTATTTTCTTTTGTAATTGATTTGTGTACATCGCCATAAAAATTCCAGAAGTCTTTCCAGATGCTTCAGATCAGGAAACCTTTGACGCGGCATCACTTCCCGGAAGTAATGTCCCTATTTCTTCTGTTTCGCCTGAAATTGGACAGCCAAACGATGGGATTTCATCTCCATCCATTCCTGCCGATCAGTAAAGACGATCCAAAATATTAATGAAATAATGTCTGAGGTATGGCATTCGCTTAAACTTTACTTTGTCTCAATGTCTCTGTTTCTTCCACTTATGTAGAAACCATATCTAAGGCTAACAATAAACTCTACTGTGGTGCAGTTAGCATTTGAGAAAGAAGAATTGATGAAAGCTTTAGCATCCGAGTAATCTCAATGTTCGAAGTTGAAGGTAAATTTTGACTTGATTAGGTTTTCTTATGTCATGACTTATTATGACGGAGCTTGGAGGAGAATTTTCAATTTTGACTTGGTATGAGAATTTGATGGCAATTACTAAGCGAAAAGATATTGTGGCGAAGATATAGTTTTTCCAGTTAGGGAGTTAGTGTGCACTTGTTAGCATCTAATTGATACATGATAGGGGTGGGCAACGGGAAATGGGTATTTGGGTATACCCGTACCCGTCACGTTTTTTGAGGGTTACGGGTACCCAAATACCCGTAATTTTTTTTACGGATGGGACTTGGGATCAAGAATCACTACTTTGGGTACCCGCGGGTTACCCGTCAGTACCCGTTTGGGTATTACGGGTACCCGTTATACCCGTTAGTCCAAAATTATTACAAGATTATTTTATTTTTATAGTGGTGAAAAATATATATTAAAAAAGAGAAACATAGTTAGTCACAGAAAAAGAAAGCAGCAGCCAGTTGGCTCAACAAAATTGAACCAAACTGGAACACACTAACTAAAAAGAATCAGCAGAAAAAGGAACAAATTAATTCTTGTTTATTTAATTCTTGGTGGCGGTTTCGCACCCAAAAAAAATTCTTGGTGGCGGCTTCACTTGGTGGCAGCATCACTTCACCTTCATCATATTGATTCTTGTTTCGTATATGTTCTTAGTTTATTTTTGTTGTTGTTGTTATTATGGTTGGTGTGCACAAGAAATGGTTTTGTTGTTTCTAGGACGATAATGGGAGATAGGCAAAGAAGGTATTCGATGGAATTTTGGACGGGTATTATGGGTATTATGGGTACCCGTTATCCGTCCCATACGGGTAACGGGTACCCGTTATTCGTACGGGTTTGGGACTTGGGATGAAGATTGCTCTCTAAATGGAATTGGGTACCCATTTCAAACGGGACGGGTATCCCGTTCCGTCCCGTTGCCCACCCCTACATGACATGAGCTGAAATTTTCAACAGAAGGAAATTGTAGAAATGTAAGTGAAAAAAATATTACAGATAACAGAGCAGTTGTGAAATGATTAGGGGATCCCACAACTGGTAAGGGTGCATTAAATTATTGAAATATTTTAGTTGTGTGAAATTGACAATTCCCATAACCTGAGTTTTGAGGAAGAGAAAGGGGTAAAATTAGATATGTTGAAAGATAAAGCAAAATAATGTCAGCTTAAGTTCAAATTAGATTTTGAAAGTAGAAATTAGACGTTGGAAAGATGTTAATTAAGAAGGTGATTATTTGTCCAACTTATTGAATCAATCCTAAAATAATCTTTCTCTAATTGATATGTCTGAACACCGCACAGGTCATAAGAATGTCGTTCTTTATTATTTTCTGAATGCTGGTTTGAGATCATTGATTGTGCTTTACATAATGTATTTCTTTTCTTGCCTTGGAATAATGAAGGATTTGAACAAGGATCTTTCACGTAAACTTGAGACTCAAACTCAAAGATTGGAGCTCTTGGCTGCTCAAAGCATGGCCACCGAGAACATCACATCTAGATTACCCGAGCCCCGTAGCATGCAAGAGAATCTTGCATACGCTAACGAAGGAGACGAGGTATGTTCTCGATAATGATCTCTACTATCTTGTTACATGGCAAGAAAAGGTTATACTTCCGCCTCAGCTTGCTGTTTGACTTGCTTGACCGACCATATTTTACCATCTCCAGGTTGTTGAAAGAGTATTGGGGTGGATTATGAAGCTCTTCCCTGGAGGGCCATCGAAAAGAAGAACCAACAAGTTGCTTTGACGACAGTCGGTTGACAATGGATGTTGCTGGATTTGACTGTTGTTTCCATTCTTAGACACCCTACGCCTTTTAATCGTAGCACCATAGAGATCGTAATTTGTATATTGTCAAGAGTCGATGTTATACCCCGTCAATTCTTTTGTAAGTGATGAGAAAATGAGGTTTCCGCAATTTTTTGATAGAGTGATGGATATGTCAAATGAGTCAAGGCTCTGTGTTGTCCTGTGTCAAGTGTATTGCACATTGGTGAACAATCCATGCAACTGTGGAACATTGGTTGGTTAGTGACAAAATATGAGTTTATATGGGATATTGGAATTTGACACTAATAACAGTTGCACCATCTATAGTCTATACTTGCTGGTTGTATTCACAATCTTCTTTTTGTCAGATCGAATAAACAAAGTCATACAAAAGGTAATGTACAATGACAGGATTGAAGCACAAACTAAACGTGTTTGGAGATCTAGAGAGTGACCCCTATATTGCTAGTCTAGTTGCAGCTCGACTTTCTTATGTTGTGCAGCTTCATCGTTCATCTTTCCCGATGGGCTTTTTTGCCGTCTTCTTAAGTGGACATCTGCTCCTTATGAAGCTGTAAGCCCAGCCCAAAGTAACGGTAATCTGGAAACCGGGAGGCGAGAAACGACTCACGATAAGGACGAGAACTACTCACTCCAGTCCAGTACCTGAATTCAACTTTACCGGTGGGCCTCCGCTTCTCTATGCTCCGGCGGCCATGGCTGTTATGACAATCTCTTCCCTATTTTCTCTCTCTCCTCACTGCTCCACCTCTTCCACCACTCGCCGTCAGGTACTCGAGCTGCAGCAATGGCAACAAATTGAAGAAACACACGCCGGGATTTTCAGAGCGATGAGTTGCTCTGACGAGTTAGGGTAACGTACCTCGAAGTTCCTGTTCCCGTTGGCAGTTGCGGCGACGATGGTTACTTCCGTATCTTTTGGCGTCAGCAATGCTCCTTCGAGTGAGTTTCTTTTTGTTTTTGTTTCTTTTACTGTGTTACACAGCGTTGGTCGATTGATTGATGCTATTGTTGCGGTGCCCTGCAGACGCCCTAACAGAAGAGAATTTACTATTCTTGGAGGCGTGGAGATTGGTTGATCTTGCTTATGTGTGTCAAGAACCAGTTGATCCCAATAACTCGAGTTGTTGGGAGAGGTTCAATCGTGGATCATATACCACAACACTAACACGCCCCCTCAAACGAAAACCACTCACAAGGGCTTGAAGTGTTGGTCGATTGATTGCTGCTATTGTTGCGGTGTCCTGCAGGCGCCCTAACAGAAGAGACTTACTATTCTTGGAGGCGTGGAGATTGGTTGATCGTGCTTATGTGTGTCAAGAACCAATTGATCCCAATAACTCGAGTTGTTGGGAGAGGTTCAATCATGGATCATATACCACAACACTAACACGCCCCCTCAAACGAAAGCCACTCACAAGGGCTTGAAGTTTGCACAAGTCTGAAGACAAGAATACCATGTGCTTAACAAATGGGGTCACCGGGAATCGAACACAAGACCTCTCAGTCACAGAAGGCTCTGATACCATAACAAGAACCAGTTGATCCCAATAACTCGAGTTGTTGGGAGAGGTTTAATCGTGGATTATATACCACAACACTAACAATGTGGACAAAACTTTTAATGGACAGAGTTGGTTTCGTTACAGAGAAGATGCTCTGCGCAGTGAGCCCATGAATTCCCGCGGAGAGACGTGTATGCTCATCTGTTCAACTCTCTAACTTGCTAACGTTTCTTACTAAATTGACGAGTGATGATAAAAGTACTGAAGGCATGGGTATATATGATGCTGCAGATCGTCTGCAGTGAGTGTCTATTTATCTTGTGTTTTAAGTTCTTTTTTCTTACTAGTTTGTGTTATAAGTTACAAGTTATATGCCATCTGGTAACAAAGAACATGGAGAGAACAGAAACCCTAAAAGCCTGAGTTTCTCATTAGAACTTCTGCCTCTTATAGGCAGTTCAAAGTCATTACAAGACAAGCTCCATAGATGTTTTGTTTGGAAGCTTGGAAAGGAAAAGTTACATTGCTTGATCAGAAAGAAAGTACAGCCGAAAGAAGAAGGGAACGACATCGTTCCAAACAGTGGTGATCTTCTCTTCTGAACGGCATCGTTCCATTAAGTGAGGTTGCCTCCTGAAACGACGCTGCACGAACAAAGGGACGCCAAGCATAAAAACGTCGTCGCTGCGGGAGTAGACCGTTGGAATTGAAATGAATTTCAATCTGTTACCCCCCCCACAAGCTGGTGGGCAGATGTTCCGCACACCAAGCTTGGACAACAAGGAGAGGAATGGCGATGGAGATAGAGGTTTGGTGAAGATATCAGCCAACTGGTGAACAGCCGAGATATGGAGCAGCTTCAGAGTCCCCTTTTGGAGCTTTTCACGAACGAAATGACAGTCCAATTCGATATGTTTTGTTCGTTCGTGAAAAGAGGGGTTTTTGGCAATGTGAACCGCGCTTTGATTGTCGCATTAGAGAGTAGCTGGAGATGAAGAGAAAGCTTGAAGGTCTTTGAGCAGGTATTGGAGCCACTGAATCTCACAAGCTGTGTAAGCCAATGCTCTGTATTCGGCCTCGCAAGAGGATCTTGAGACAGTATGTTGTTTCTTTGTTTTCCAGGAAATGAGTGAGTCTCCAATGTAAATGCAGAAACCTGTCGTTGAGCGACGTGTATCTACACAAGCTGCCCAATCAGAGTCAGTGAAGGCTTTGATTTGGAAAGTACCTTTGGAAGGAAAGAAAAGACCAGTGCCAGGAGCTGATTTGAGGTAACGTAGGACACGCAGAACAGCTTTGAAATGTGTAATGGATGGAGAGGCCATGAACTGACTTAGTTGCTGAGTGGCAAAACTAATGTCAGGTCTTGTAGCAGTGAGGTAGATTAGCTTTCCAACAAGTGTCCTGTAGAGTTCAGGGTCTTCAAAGGCATTGTCTGAATCATTGCTGAGATGAAGTTTGTAGTCCATTGGTGTTGAGACAGTTTTGGAATCAAGAACTTGTGCTTCTTCAAGAATTTCCAGAGCATACTTTCTTTGTGATAAATGAATCCCTGATGTGCTGCGAGCTACTTCAATACCCAAAAAGTACCTCAAATTACCAAGATCTTTAATACTGAACTCTTTGTGAAGAATCTGCTTCAGCTCCTCAATTTCTGTTATATCATTGCCTCCCAATACCAAGTCATCGACATAAATAAGAATGCATGTGTAACTAGTATCAGTGACCTTGAAGAAGAGGGAATGGTCTGCTTGACTTTGAATGTATCCAACCTGCTGTAATTTGTCAGTAAGCTTTGAGAACCACTGACGAGATGCTTGTTTTAAGCCATAAATTGATTTTCTTAATCTGCAAACTGGATTGGGAATATCTGAAGGAGGCACATAGCCTTTAGGCAGGGTCATGTACACTTCTTCTTCAAGGTCACCATGTAGGAAGGCATTGTTTACATCTAACTGATGTATATGCCAGTTCCTTATGGCTGCAATGGCTAAGAAAGTCCTTACTGTTGTCATCTTGATGACAGGGGCAAATGTATCTTGATAGTCCACACCTTCTTGCTGTGTATTACCTTTTGCCACTAATCTGGCTTTATGTCTTTCAAGGGATCCATCAGAAAGAAACTTGTCTTTATAGATCCATTTGTTGCCTATTGGTTTCTTTCCTTTAGGCAAACTGACAACATCCCATGTATGATTTTTGAGTAATGATTTGATTTCAAGTTGCATTGCATCATTCCAAATGTCATGTTGAGCAGCCTCACTGTATGTCTGAGGTTCCCTGTGACTGGAAATGTTGAGAAGAAAACGTGTGTGATTGGAAGAGAGCTTGTCATAGGAGATCATTTTGGAGAAGGAATACCTGGTGTCTTTGACCTGTTGCAGTGTTGAGTGATTGATGCTGCTAGGGCCTTGTGACAGGTAGCAATGATAGTTTTGAATTAAGTGTGGAGGTGGTTTGGAAGTTCTGTCAGAACGTCTGACAACAGGAGGTGGGGATGGGGAATTGGATGGAGGAGGAGATGAAATAGGAGAAGCTGATGGAGCAGAATTGGTTGATGTATCAGGTGGAAGAGAAGAAGTAGAGGGAGTTGATGTAGGTTCTGGTGCAGGTATAGGAAGGGTAGGTTGTGGAGATGAGGGGTTAGTAGGGGAAGGAGGGAAAGAATCATCATGAACAAGATGAGATTCAATGGAAGGAATGGGAAAGAAAATATCTGATTGAGTAGAAGATTGGTCTTGCTGCTGATCAGACTGGTAAGGAAAATGAGACTCAAAGAAAATGACATCTCTACAAATGAAAACCTCATAAGAGGATAGATCATATAACCTGTAGCCTTTAATGCCAGAAGGAAATCCTAGAAAGACAGTTTTTCTTGCTCTAGGTTGAAATTTGGTCCTGTGATTACTGAGAGTACTGGCATAGGCTAAACAACCAAAAACTCTCAGTTCATTGAGGTCAGGTGGGGATTTGTAGAGAAGTTCAAAAGGGGTTTGATTTGCTAGCACTGGGGATGGAACCCTATTGATCAGGTGAACTGAATGCTTGACACAGTCACCCCAAAAGGAAGAAGGTAAGTTGGCTTGAAATTGAAGGGCTCTAGCAACAGCAAGAATATGCTGATGCTTCCTCTCTACTTTACTGTTCTGTTGAGGGGTTTCTACACATGACATTTCATGTAGGATTTCAGTGGAGGTAAAAAAATCATCCATCTGGAATTCCCTACCTTGATCACTCCTGATTCTTTTGATTTTTGTTTCAAACTGCCTCTCCATTTGATTGCAGAAGGCAATCAGTTTTGGTCTTGCTTCAGATTTGAGTTGAAGCAATATAATCCATGTCATTCTAGAGTAATCATCAACAATAGTCAAGAAGTATTTAAAGCCATCATAGGTGGGGGTGGAGTTTGGACCCCAGATGTCTACATGGAGTAATTCAAAAGGTTTAAGAGTTACAGACTGACTGGAAGGGAAAGGAAGTCTCTTCTGTTTTGCAAAATGACAAACATCACAGGGTTGGTCTTGATGAGTGGAAATGGAGGTACAAAATTGTTTGATGATGGGGATTTTAGAATGGGATACATGTCCTAATCTAAAATGCCAGAGATCAAATGTGTAGGTGGAAGCAGCAGAGACCAACTTAGGGAAAAGTGATGCTTCAAGGAAATAGATACCATTGCAAAGCCTAGCAGAACCAATCACTCTCGTCTGCTTCAGGTCCTGTATAAGACACATGGTTGAATGAAAGGTTAGGCAAAGAGAATTTCTGGAAGTGAGTCTGCTGACAGAAATGAGATTGAATGTGAAGTTGGGAACATAGAGAGCATCATGAAGGATTAGATCATCACTGCAAATTGCAGTTCCAGAATGAGTAGCTTGGACCTGTTCCCCAGTGGGAAGAGTTATAAAGACATTGTCTAAGGTTTTCTTGTCATGTAGACATGCCAATGAACACACTATGTGGTCAGAGGCACCTGTGTCTACAATCCATCTTTGTTGTGGACTCTGGGATACACTCAAGATAGGTAAGGATGGTAAGGAATGTGAACTGATACCTATGTTTGTAACATAGGCTGCAGCAGAGAAAGAAGACTGACCCTTTTGAGCATTCATGAGGCTCATAAGTTTGTCATAATCTGCCCTGGTGAGTTTAACTTCATCAGAGCTAGAAGAAGAAGTGCTGGTCATGTTAGCAGCAGGTTTGCCTCTTGGAGGAACAGGAGGACCATTCCTTGGAACAAAGTTAGCAGGGTAGCCATGTTTCTGAAAACACTTTTCTTCTGTGTGTCCTCTTCTTTTACAGAAAGTGCATACATTGATAGTCCCAGTAGTGGATTGAGTGGGTTTGGACATGCCAGAGGGCCATCCATGCTTCTGAAAGCAGATGTCTTCTGTATGACCCTCTCTTTTACAGAAGGTACAGAATGGTGGCTTAGAGTTGGTGGAAAACCTTCTGTTGGCACCTTGAAATGCTAAAGCAGAAGAATCTGATTGTGCAGAAGCAGCCATTCTGGATGTATGAGTGCCATAGAGTTGGCGTTCATGTTGAAGCATCCTTTGAAAAACTCTGTTTATGTTTGGCAGTTCATCTCCAAAAAGTACTTGAGCTCTCACACCAGAGAAATTGTCATTTAAACCACGAAGGAACTTGATGACATAGTTGGTTTCTTGATACTGAAGGACTCTAAGCATAGCAGCACAATCATTCTGACTTGTAGGTGTACACGTACAAGGCAGTAGTGGTTGATAATTTTCCAGTTCATCTCTTAAAGTAATCACTCTACCATAGTATTCAGTGACTGACTGAGTACCTTGTTGAAGATTGGAGAGTGCTTCTTCCAGTTCAGCAATTCTGATCAGATCTCCAGATCCATATCGAGTCTGAAGGCTTGTCCATGCTTCAGCTGCAGTTTTGATGGAGAGAATGGTCTTCCTGATGTCTGGAGATGTAGACTGTTGAATCCAACTAAGTACCATGACGTTGTTGCGTGTCCAAGCACCATGTCGAGCATCTGTGGTTGGTGGTTCAGAAATGGTTCCATTGATGAAACCTACTTTGTTTTTAGCAGCAAGAGCATTGAACATTGCTCTGTGCCAGTCGTTGTAGTTTGTTGGAGTGAGCTTTTCTGCCACGAGAAGAGATCCAGGCTGTTCAGAGCCATGGAGGAAGAAGGGATCAGAAGAAGGATCGATAGGAACAGGATTTGGTTGCTCCATTTGAGCATCGTTTTGGCCTTGATTGTCGGCCATTGTAGAAGTTGAGGGCGGCGGCTAGGGTTTAACTACAGGCTCTGATACCATAACAAAGAACATGGAGAGAACAGAAACCCTAAAAGCCTGAGTTTCTCATTAGAACTTCTGCCTCTTATAGGCAGTTCAAAGTCATTACAAGACAAGCTCCATAGATGTTTTGTTTGGAAGCTTGGAAAGGAAAAGTTACATTGCTTGATCAGAAAGAAAGTACAGCCGAAAGAAGAAGGGAACGACATCGTTCCAAACAGTGGTGATCTTCTCTTCTGAACGGCATCGTTCCATTAAGTGAGGTTGCCTCTTGAAACGACGCTGCACGAACAAAGGGACGCCAAGCATAAAAACGTCGTCGCTGCGGGAGTAGACCGATGGAATTGAAATGAATTTCAATCTGTTATCTGGACCTTTTTGTTCCTACTACAAATCTTAGGGCTGCATGCAAGAGACAATTCGTTACCGGTCTAGGTTAAATCAACTTCCTTTCTTCTCTGGTTTAGGGGTCCAGAGGGAAGTTCGGTTGAAGTGACGATTCACAGTGGTACTGGAGTAAAGCATCTGGATTTGATGCGAGTGTGTTGATGTACCTTTGAGCATAATTTGAGCAGTTAGGCTCCTTCACCGGGCATGTGGTTCGGTAGCTTATAAGCTGACCAACTGTCTAATGCTTAACAGACAAGAGAAGGTGTCTCTAAATCCAGTCAAGACTAGGATTTGTGAAATTCCAAGATCTGGGAAAGAAAGGCACATCCAAGATTGGGTACATCAAAACTGAGTTCATTCAGCCAAACTTCTGCAGGTTTGTAGTAAAATATTCAGCCTCGAAAGTATGTTTCAGATATGGTAGGATGGTTTTGACGACAGCTATTGGAATTGAGAACATTATTCATCCAGAAACTCTTTTAAGTCAAAAGTCGTTTGCGTACCTGTTTTGATTTATGAGAAGTGCTCGCCTTTGTTCTTGAGGAAGTAAGCTAGAGATTTTGAAACTTGGTACGTTCTCAGTGCTGTAGCTGTGGCGGGTTAAATCTCACCAAGTTGATCTATCTTTGGTATAACGGGCACGCTATGCAAATAAGCTGTTAACCCTCCCTGCAGCCAACTTTCTGATGGCTCGGGGTTGGCTGTGACTATTGCTCGTGATGAAACACCTTCTCACATCGACATTGTTAAGGTTGGTTGGATCGTGTTTTTATTTTAGGTTTAAACTTCACTGGATCATTCTGCGTCATATAAATCCGCTTCTCCGTCTCCAGTCTGTATAGTCGATTCATTTCTGACTCCTCTTCTAGGTCGGAGTGATGCCGGATCATCCTCTCCCCAGCTCATTTCCAGCCGACAGCGACGAGGGTCTCTGCATTTGCCTCCAAGACCCTGCATCTTGCAACTCTCTGTGTTTCCACACCCGCATTGTAGTGGTATATGCTCTGGATATATACATTTACATTCTCTGCCTTGGTCGGCTGGCTGCAAGTTGTTTGGTTTTAACCTATGGGGCAAGCAATAATGAGAATGACTCCGCAGTCTATTGTTGTATTGCCAAAAACAATCCATGTTTTGTGTAACAAAATCAATCAATGATATGCCAAGTATTGATCAAAATGGCCTAAACTAACTAGAACATTTTCGTCCAGGAAGCCAGGAACGGGAAAACTGCAATCAACAATCGCAGGAACAGCGGTGTCCCACTGCTCTCCATCAATCCACCCCTAGCCACCTTGCCATTGACAGTGGTACCTCTCCTCCTTGGCCGCAGCTGTGGCTGTCGTCTTCCATTTTCAGGCACAGGTTGGGGCTGTGGCTGTGGCTGACTTGCCTTTGCCGGATCACGTTCTTGCTTCTGCTGCACGGATCTGAACCCCTCGAGCTCTTCCCATCCACCACAGGAATTCAATGCCGACTGTGTTTTCGCTTCTCCCTCTTCCTCCTCCGCAAAAATGCTGCCATTGCTGTCTGCCCAAGACTCATAACCCATTTTCCCACTTCCAGCCCCACCTCCTCCACCTGCCTTTCTTCCTTGTTCATCTTCTTCAACAATGTAGCTTCTATCGCTCCGTCGTCGAGGAGACGCAGATGGTTTCTTCCTCTTTTCAGCCCTTGGTTTTGCTTTCGGCCGTCTCTTCGTCGGTTTCCCCCACAATCTATTAACAGCGAGAGTCGCCGCCGATTGACCCAGAGGGATTGCCAATGTCATCAAGAAGGCTTTCGGGCCAGTCGCTAGCAACCACGAGATTATGATGAACGGCAGTCCCCAGCCGTAGGATTTGAATACCTGCACTGACCACATTCCCCCAAGCAAAACCCCTTTTAGAAAGAACCAACAAATGAGCGGGTAATGGGAGAGTTCGCCGGAAAGCAGATTTACCTTGAGAATCCATAGACTTTCAATGAAATCCTCCAAAATCCCTAGCTCTTCCTCGTCTTCTTCATCTCCGCCGTCGCTGCCAGGCGGCGCATCTGACCACCACGTCCGTCTCCTCTTCCCGGAACTTCCTTCTTCCGCCTCCTCCTTCGCGCGGAATTTGAACTTGAATCTCCGGTGGCCATGTTTCCCCACGGCATTGAATTCCCCGCGGTGGCACCTGGCGATGCCGACGTGTAATGGTCTGTTTCTCCAACAGAGAGAATTGGGGGCGACGAGGTTCTTCTGCAACCGAAGAGGGATTTGGAGGAGCTTTATGGAGACCGGTTTCGTCAGCAAGAGGTGGCGACGACGACCAATGGCCTCGCCGACGCTGCCGCCGGCGTGGATTGTGCTCGCTTCCATTGGCAGCAGGAGCAGGCTGTAGCTTGCTGCTCCTCCATTCGCCACGATTCCGTTATCTTCTCCATTAATAAAAAAGGGTTTTAGAAATCTGATTCTCATTCTTTCTAAGTCCACCTTTATTCAGACTCCGGTTCCTTAGTGGGCCTTCAGCTCTTCCCTTTACGAGCCGGCCCAAATACGCGAAAAGCCCAATACAAGTCTATTGTTTATACCGGATCGCGGCAGGAATTCATGCGCGCGGGGGGTTTCGCAGAACGATGTCGTAGTGCGGGTCTTGGTTCGCTATATATATATTTGTAGCATCCGTCTCTAGCCTGAGATATTATTTTCGTTGGGCTTCTGGAATTTTCTTTTGCGAAGAGGGTGAGGGATTTGATCGGAGATCAGCACTGGAGAAGATGAGGCCGATGCAGATGGATTTCTTCGCGGAGATGGAAGAGCAAGGGTCGACGGTGGCGATGGACGTCGACGATGTTGACCCGCTCGAAATGTTCAGCGAAAGCATGATGAACGAGAGCAAGCTCGCCGACGCCGATTTCTTCAACAATTTCGAGGATGACTTCGACGACTCCGACATCAACTGAACGCGATTCAACTCCTCCCATGGCTGCCGAAAGCTTCTGCGTCTCTGTTTCCACTCTCGCAGTTAGCTTCTCCGCCTCTCCTTCTAGCGATTATAATTTTTAGATAGGTGTCAAGGGTTTGTTGCTGAACATTGCAGTGTACTGTTTATTGAATATACATATGAGTAATGTAGATTTGGATTCCCCTGGTTTCTTATTATGCGATTGCAGTCATAACTGTGTGTGTGCGTTTGATGGAATTCCGCAGTGATGGTTAGGGTTTGGGATTAGGGTTCCTAATTTCAGGATGGCTCTCTGATTTGGGGGTTTACTATGAGTAATGAATTAGGGATCAGAATGCAGCAACGTGCTCAACTTTAGAATTGGCGTTATCTTGTGTTGAACCAGTGTGCTGTAAGATTGTAGTGGATGCTTTTGCCATTGCAATGGGAGAATGCGCCAGTTCTTCATAATTGACATTGGCACTAAGCATCCAAAAGATGTGCTTCCTTGCTCGTCGCGCAAAAATGAACCACCGGCTTGTCCCGGTCACTGGTTGTCTTCACTTATTCGTAGCTGCAATATGTGAAGATCTGTCTGTCTGCATCAAGCTGCTGCTACCTCTTACTGCACTCTTACGTGGAGCGCGAGAGGTAGCAGTAGTAGTACTTAGCAGTTTGCATAGATGAAGGTAGAGATCAAATACTGATACTAGCAGTCAAGAAGAGAATCTTTTTCAACTTTAGCATGGTTTCTCCGCATTCGAAAGCACGAGTTGGGACCTAGAAACCAGAATACAAATGATCTTCTTGGCAACCAAGGCACATCAACAACAGTAGTCTTCAGTGCGGCGTAATGCTACCTTCAACATTGTAGAAGGCTGCTGGTGGAGTTTAGGATTAGAAGCTGGTTGTTGTTGGAAGGAGATGTTGTGTCTCTTAGGTGCTTGTGACCATATGCTATGCAAAGTTTACAAACCCTAACCATCACTCCCAAAAAAAAAAAAAAAAATAGAAGAAGGTATTATCATTTTCGACCTTTTTGTCCTAGAACGCGATTGTGATTCCATTAAACAGAAAGGAACTGATGTGATAAAGCACCAAGGGGTTAGGGGGTGCTTTTGATCAGAATACACATAAGTGATGTATAGGTAGATTTTCACCACAATCAAGGTGATTACTTGATTGATAAGAAATTTGTAAAACGAATCTGGAATCCTCACAGAAAAGCTTGACAAGGGTTATCAAATTAGCAATGGAATTCACACAAAACTAACTCAAGGATTTGATTCTTCAGACACAACTCAAATACTCAAAAACTCACGTAGGAGTAATTTTTATTCAACTCAACTCTCCCTATTACAACGAAAACTAGGGGCTTTTATAGCCAAAGAAAACCTAATACAATTCTAAACTAACAAGGAATCAATTAAGGTAAAAATCTACTCTAAAAAGAACACAAAATTCGTGTTTAAACTCCTTTTCTTGAAGCATAAGTAAGCTGTCAGCAAATAGTCCAAAAATAGCTTTCGTACTACCTTCACGCCTTTCGTTCGAGGCCTTCCAGAATTCCGATCTTTCATCCGATTCCTTCCCTTTGTAGATAAACATTCCTAATTTCATGTTGTAGAAGTTTTTTGTCTCGAATCAGATCCATGCTCCTTGAATTGAGCTCCAAAGTAGGCTTAATGAACACAGATTTATACTTAACAATTTCCTGACAGATACTCATACTTATTTCGTGGCAAGTTGGGTTGGGTTGATGTTCTAATTTATTATGGGGTGTATGTCAGATTGTCGAGAGTACTCATGCGGTCTATCCCACTTTCTTACAGTGTGGGCATTACTCGTCCAAAATAGATTAAGCAGGTTGGATAAAATGGGTCGCGTTGAAATTCTCATCACTAATTGTTGATTTGAATCTGTTAGAACAATACGTGTTATCAATTTTGAAGTCCATGAAGAGTAAGTTTTCAAATAAACAGACATTTTTGGTATGTCTTTGCTTATTTGAAAGCTTACTCTTCATAGGCTTCAGAATTAATAACACTTACTGTTTGAATCTCTTAGTAGTATCTAAACAACAAAATGTAAACCTATATTACCCTTATAAAAAAATAAGCATAGACATTTTGAAATATATTTCAAAATTTGGGTTATTGTTGTGTTTGATGTTATAAATAATTAAATACGATATAATTCATGGTTGTTTATAAGATACGACAAACACATTTTCAAACACTTGTATACTTTGCATCTTTATGCTAATTTATTTTGTAAAAGGTGACTTAAATTTTGGCTATATCATTTGTAATTGTACATAACTTTGTCAATCAATTATGATAATATCGATATGACCTATACTCCAAATCATAGCGGAGCTAGTTGAGAAATTTTAATAAATTGCCCGAAAGTGTCAAATAATTTTTAATGGACAAATCAAATCATGACAATCTAAAACATCATCGATTAAACGAGTTGATAGATTTGGTTGAATTCCTCGTACAAGAGGTACAACAATGCAATATCCTCCTCTCCTCTCAATTAGTACAAATTGAACTTATATGATAACGCTAAAGATACATGTTCAGTTTATATTATAAAGAAAATTTTACAAAAAAATACAAGTCCAAACTGAATTTCTATCATAAACGTTGTACAAATTCAGTTTGTACTAAATTTTTTTAAACCAAATCATCAATTATGCAAAACATTAGAAAATTTGTCGTATGACCTCTTACTATTAGAGCATGTGAAATTTATTTATACTTGAACAATTACAAAGCTCAGCGGATTTGAAATATTGCGTCATCATATCATCTAATCTAATCTAATCCAGTTACCGTCCCCCGATAGTTTTTGTGGCCACCTTTAACCTCCCTTGCTCAGTGAGCTCCTTTCCAGCCTCTCCTTGCCCAACAGAACCCGATGATATCTTCCATGAGCAGGCTCTTCGCACCTGCCAATGTCATCTCCGCTTCATCATCTTCTTCTTCTTCTACTCCGTCTAAAGGTACGAATTCGACGCCTGTATTTTGTTTTCTTCCTCTGCACTTGCTCAGTTGCTCTGAGCTTTAACGTGAATCGCTCCCATCGAAACAGACGAGGGCTACACTTCGAAGAAGTCAGTTAAGCTAAGAGAAGACTGGAGGCAACGCTCCAAACCCATCCCGCCTGGTGGCACCTACCCAGCAAAAGAGCATTGCAGGTGGGTGTGCTTCTTCTGCTCCCCTTTCTCTTCTCTGGGATGAGAATTCAAAATATCTTTCCTAGAGATTGCTTTGGTTCTGGATGCGAAATTGACCCAAGTTTTGTTTTGTTTTCTTCTTTTATTGGGAGCAGCCAATGTGGGTTGTGTGATACTTACTACATCGCTCATGTGAAGAATTCCTGTGCTTTTCTGGGAGATGGGATGTCTAGAGTCGAAGTAAGTTGTTTCCTGTTAATTTTACTTACTTGCCGATGATGATTGTTCATTCATCATTAATGAATTATAGGATAAAGGAATGTTGAAGAATGTCAATCCAATCTGCTGCTTATTGAAACCCTTTTGGTGGGTTTATGTTTCTGGCCACAGCATCTCGAACCAGTTGTACATGGTAGAGGGAGGAAGACCGATTCTCTAGATGAAACCTACTTAGGGGTTTACGATGAACTACTGTATGCTCGAAAGACCAATCCAGTAGAAGGTATGATTTGTTCGTTAATGGTTGTTTGCATGTGCTATTCAAGTTGGGATCTTTGCAAGTTTAGTTGTTCATTTGCTGATGAATAAAATCAAAGTATATGTCTTGGCACTACAAGCGTACTCTTTGCCTGAACCATTGGCTAGACCTTGATCTTCATCATATGTTTCATTGAGGATCCATAATTACATCCAACCCTTTTCCTGATTCACTGGCAGGAGCTCAATGGACTGGTATAGTAACCACAATTGCCATCGAAATGCTGAAATCTGGCATGGTTGAGGCTGTTGTATGTGTACAAAGGTGCATATAAATATAGTGCATTCTTTGTTTTGTACTAGCAGAATGTTCTCTCTGTTACAGCTTCTATGGGTTATCTTGTTTCTGATTACTTCCTTTACCCTTATGGCTACAGTGATCCAGATGACAGACTTTCCCCAATGCCTGTCCTAGCCAGGTTCGATTATGACATTTGTTTATTCCTTTTCAGTAGTGATTTCATCTTCTGTTTTGATAATGTATCTCAGTTTTCTTTGCTCTCAATTTTTATAGGACTCCCGAAGAAGTTCTGGCTGCCAGAGGTGTCAAACCAACTTTATCACCCAACTTAAATACCCTTGCACTGATTGAGGTGTGTAAGAAGAGTGCTTGTAGTACTTACTTGTGCCTTCTAACATCATCTTCTTGATCAATTAAGCATTCTTCTATACACATATGATTTCACTTAGAAAATTTGACAAGAGCAATGATCTTTTGTTTTGGAAAACAGGCTTCTGGGATAAAGCGTCTTCTCTTCTGTGGTGTGGGCTGCCAAGTGCAAGGTATTTGATATCAGCCTCTAGAGTTTTGCTGGTTCAGTGATTTTCTTTGTTTGACTTGTACTATCATAATGCAGAGTAATTCATTGAACTGCAGCATTAAGATCTGTGGAGCAATATCTGAATTTGGAGAAGCTTTATGTACTGGGCACCAACTGCGGTAATTCAAAGCCTATCCCCATCTAGTTCATTTTATGCTCCATCAGATCATACTTGATTATAGAGCACCTTTGGGTATTTAATCCTCACGTAAGGCCAGATAGGTACACACGCATTGTTAAGGTTGGAACTCTCCCCTAAAACAGTGGATTTGGTCCTGGGTTCTGTAAACTTACGTTGTTAATAGTCTTTACCACATGGCATCCAGATATCTAATCCGTAGAGTTGGTTGCTTTAACAAAAACTATTTGGCATGACTGGATTTTTGTTGCACGTACTTGTATATGACAGTTGATAATGGAACTAGAGAAGGACTTGATAAATTCCTAAAGGCTGCAAGTACGGAGCCAGAAACAGTCCTTCATTACGAATTCATGCAAGACTATAAGGTTTTTCTTATTAACCGCTTATTCTGTTGTTAATTTCAGCTTATTACTTTTTGTATGAAGTATGATTTTCATATTTATCTTTGCTTATGTTTATCTTTCTTGTTTTTCCCCTAGGTTCATCTGAAGCATTTGGATGGCCACATAGAAGAGGTAAAGAGGCATTTCATCCACTTCTTTGATTGGCCTGGAGCTCACCATTCTTGCTGCTTCATCTTCTTTTCAATCTTAACTGAAGCAGGTTCCTTATTTCTGTCTGCCAGCAAATGATTTAGTGGATGTTATTGCGCCGTCTTGCTACAGGTAATTTCCCATTTCTTATACCAGTAATATAAGTGCACCGTGTTGCATTAGTTATCTTATTCACTAGTCAAAGATAATTCTCTTTCTAATATTTAACCTGTTTTTGACACTTCAACAGCTGTTTTGATTACACAAATGGTTTAGCGGTGAGTTTTACTTTCTAAATTATGTTGAACGCTGGATTACGGATGGTTCTTCTGTAGGAGTTTGTTTTTGGGAACAAGCGGATTTTTATTTCTTAACCTTACCTTTTCTGAAACCCTTGCTTCAGGATCTAGTTGTTGGATACATGGGTGTACCTAAATATCCCCAAGTTAGTATGACAAACCATCCGCAATATGTCACAGTCAGGTAAAATGCTACCTAAGTCTTTGCTGGTAGCTTCTCAAACAAACCATGAATCACATGCTAAGCTTTACAACCCAACTTGTAGGAATGAGCGAGGAAGAGAAATGCTCAACTTAGTGAGAGACCTATTGGATGTTACTCCAACAATCAGTAGCGTAAAGTCCTTATCCCTTTCTTATGAAAAGATTGTTGCTGAAATATGAACCTTCACAACAACACTTCAAGAGAAATGAAAAGAAGAAATCACTGTCTTTGGTTGCTGTTTCAGGGCAACAGAAGACCATTTGTGATGGAGACTGTCAAGGCAGATGACAATGCAAAGCTAGGTAATTCTGATGATTGATCAGAAGTTGTAGATTCGCCCACGTTAACTAATTCTACAGCAAAGCTGATTTTCCTATGTTATTTTTGTATCACCAGGGAAGGGCCCTGCTCAACCTGCTCCAAAGCTTGTTGGGAACTTGATCGCATTTATACTAAACTTGGTGAATAAGCTCTTTTTTCATTCAGGTTGCTGTGACAAGATGGGAGCTTGATTGTCCACTCTAACCTTTGCTGTTTTTGGGACCTGCAGATTGGGCCAAAGGGTCTCGAATTTGCTAGGTATTCGCTAGACTACCATACTATAAGGAACTATCTGTACACGAACCGTACCTGGGGAAAAGAGAGGTGGGTCATTCTACGCTCTCGTCTAGTTTTCAGGGCTCGGTTTGATGTTAAGAACTGATTTCTGATTCTACCGAAACTTGAAACTGTTATGCAGAGCTGATAGACACATGCCTTCATACGCGAAGAAACTCGTTGAACTGTACAACCAAAAAGGGGAAATCGATGAGATGCTACAGATCAAGTGACAGTTTCTGTTCATATTTGAGTACATACATAGTCCTGGTAGCACCTCACGGCTAGCAGTTCTTTAGAGAGAAAAAACATCTCTCGTTCTGATGGATTGAGAGGCAATGAAATTACTTGATACTAAAGAAAACGGAAAGAATGCTATAGAGCTTGATTTCCTCTGGAAGCCTATCCAACACCCAGAAAGCTGTTTGTGACATTGATCTTTCAGGAAACTGTCAACCCTCTAGAACACTCAACCAGCCAGCCAACTGCAAGTAATTAAAGATAATAGGCATTGAATTGAATCTAGCATTACATGAAAACTCACAACGAAGTCAAACTACAAGTGATAGATGCACAAGGTTGGAGACAACTTGTCTCCAGATTGAGAAGTCTCTTAAACTCTGAAGTATAAAATGGTTGAAGGATCAACGGCCATGGAAGTGGAATTCAATTCGCGTTTGGAGTTGAGAGAAACAACATGGAATGGGAAGGCCGTGCCTGACAAAAAAACAGTTGGGAGTTTTTAATGGCCATATGTGCTGTAACTGAGACTAGAAGCTGGTCCATTGTTTTCCTACAAACTGTCAAATCTTTGCTTCTTCTGTAGCTTAAAGACAAAGTTGACCCAATAAAGTTATTACAAGGAATCTGAGGTGCTCATTCATTAGAGTGCAGACAATGATATTTATTCACTGAGATAGCCTTGGCCAGTACTGGAACTCCATTTCAAGTATTTTTTTTTCTATTTGGTCCCGATGAAGGGTTCCTATCTACTTAATGCTGTACTTGACTAATTGGAATCTGTTAGTTCGAGTGACATGAATAGAAAGTTGAAACCTGCTGCTACTGTTTTAAAGCTTGATAATGTGAATCAATTAAGCAAGGTTTAAGAAGACGTTAGGCGGCGCTAAGCAATCGTTATGGACTCTTGCTTAGTGCCTAACACGCCTAACGGTGTTTAGGCAGCAGCGTCTAGGTGTTTTATAAGTTTTATCTTGAGTTCAATTTCAAATGATTAATAACTTAACTAACCATCAACAAACAAGCAAGGCATGTCATGATTTCAACAGAATGACAAATTTATACAAGTAGTGGTGGGTTGTGGACGGTTCGGCAATGATGAAGAGTAGGGCAAAGGGTCGCGAGTTGAATATAGGGTGGTTGGAGATGGCGTTGTTGTGGAAATATTAGCTGAAAATTATTATTATTATTATTCTTATAATGTCAACACGCTTAAGCGTGACTCTCTCCCATTAATCATGCCTCATGTTGATTAACCGTGCCTAGATCGCTCTATTTAGGAGGCGTCCAGGCGTTATAAACGCCTAATTGTCTGCTTATAGCCTAAGTCTCATTGTCTAATGCCTAGAATAATCGGGATTGAGCTACCTTGATCGTTTTTGTTCTGCATGTATTGAATCAAAGGCATGGGTTGATCATATGGGTTGTCTGTTTTCTCTAGAAAATAATTTGTTTTGTGGAGAGGAAAGAACGCTAAGGTGGTGGCTGAAATTGAAGATTCAACCAAAAAACAAAAACAGACAGATAGAAAGAAAGAAAGAAAGAAAGAAAGAAAGAGGAATGGAAAGCAGTGAAGGAAGGAATTGTGGCTTGGGTTTGGCCATGCATGTTGGTCTTGGGAGACTTATTTTCACTTAGAACTATAGAACTAGAGCTAGTGTTATTATTGTGGAAGAAAGACGTACGCAGCACTCAACGGTGGCGGTGTGGCGGTGGACGTAGCGATATGGTTGTGGGAATGCACGTGCGTGACCTAAAAACCATAATAGGGTGAATGTCCAATCGATTTGGTTTACAACCGGATCGAGTCGAGATAAGTTCGAAGTGGAATTAAAGAAAAATTGATGTATGTTTTTATTCACGGTTGAACATAAAATTAGATGAATTACTACAGTTTAACTGGTCCATTGGTTCACTATTTTAACCAAAAAAAAAATGTAAAAAATATTTTAATATAAACTAATACCATCAAACCATAATTATTAATTTTATATATGTTTCCTCTTCTCATTCCAACCTTGTTGTCGACTTTATATTGTTGACAACTATCGACTGACACTGTAATTTTAAATTTGAATTACACAAATATGATTTCTCTTGTGAGATGGTTTGAATGGTTTGTTAGATATTTTAGTGATGATATGAATTTAAAATTGTTTATGATCAATGATAACTGCATTATGAAATAAGTGTACTATACAAGTTTTATATGTTATATGTCATGAACGGTTTTATTGACGGTTCACCAATAATTTTGTATCGGTTAACCACTGAACTCTAAACTACTGACTTTTCCGGTTCTGAATAGAGGTTACAACCAATTGAAATTATAAAATAGGCTCCCAAAGTTTAGAATTTAAATGTTTTTTTCATTGGATTAACAAAGACTGAACTGAATGAAATGGAAAATTTGGAACACACGAAGTCAAATCATCAAATGGAACTTAATTTGCATTTGTGGCATGTTCAAGAGTTGAAATATCATTGCGCTGAGAACCATTTAAATTAACAGCAGCAACAATAATAATTCTTTCTGTTTATTATATGTTAATTTATTCGGGTAGATTAATTAGTAGCAATAATTATTAGTGGGAAGGAATAAAGAGAGAAGGCTTGAAAGTGGGAAGGATTTTTTGTTATATTGTAGGAAAGTGTTTCTACGAGAATTATTATTATTAATATTATTATGCAATTATAATATTATTATGCTGTTGATTTTCCGCTGCTTCCTCAGCGTTGTCGCTCGTGGGCTGTTGGTTTGTTGGTGCGAGATGGGGGTTGCTGCTGTGTTTTTGTGTTGTTTGTTTATGTCTTTTTTCGTGCGCTGCCTGTGAAGCAGTATCCAGGTGTCCGCCTGTGATGTTTTGTGTTTCTAGCAGGGGTGGCTCGGTCCACCTAGCTGGTTTTTTTGCGGATCGATTGTGGCACCCTTGGCCTCCCAGGTCGTTTCTGGGCAGGTTTTTTGCGGCCTCACTCGGTCGCTGTACTTTTTTGCTTTTCTGGGAAGTTGGGTTCAGTTGCTTGTGAACCCCTCTTCATTTGACTCTTGTTTCGATTTTGGTTTGTTTTTCTATAATTCAATCATCATTATCAAAAAAAAAAAAATATTATTATGCAATTATATATCAAGAATATCTACCAAATCCTCTCCTAATCTCCTCCCTCCTGTTCTAGGTTTTCGCCTGGCCATTCTTATTCCAAAACCTTCAACATTAACTTCCAATAGGAAGGCTGGAATGGGAAGATAGAAGGGTGGCATCAGCCTGGAAGTTTGAACAGAAAATAAGGTTGGGTAGGAGTGGACAATCGGTTCATTAAATTCGAATCAAATCGAAACCAAATTGAACTGAAACTGAAAAATGCTATTCGGAAGGGAAATATGGATATTTTGGAAATCATGATTCTTTCAACCGAACCGAAATTCCGAATTTTCGACCGAAAAACCGAATAACTATAATTGTAAGCTCTAAATGGTAGATCTTTTATGTTTGTACTTGTTTTGAGACTTGAATATTTGAATCATGTTAGGATTTTATGACTTATGTGTTGAAATGTTTGATTTTATCATTGATGATGCATATTTATTGTTTATATTAGGGGTAGAAAATAATTTAAAAGAGAGAAGATACAAATAGCCTCACAAATTCGGTTTTGTGTGAAATTCCGAACCGAACTAAGTTATAATTCTATTTGAACCGACTAAACTGAATTATAATTCTGTTCCAATTTGATTTGAGGTTTCGTAGAATTCGGAGACCCAATATGCATCATTTCGGTTCGGACGAACCGAACCGGCCGAATGTCCACCCTTATTGGGTGGGTGTCGAAGGGTGGAAGTGGAACGGAAGACATAGAGTTGCGAGTAGGGGTGGAAATCGGTACGGTATCGGTATCCCAATACCAAATACCGAAATCCCGAATACCGAATTACACCCTAAAGTCAATCCCAATCCCAATCCCTAAATAATTTCGGTATCCCAATCCCAATCCCTAAATATTTCGGTATCCCAATCGGTACTTCGGTATCCCAATCGGTATTATCGAATATGAAATTAATTACCTTTACAATTAAAAATTAAATTTATAAATTAGATTTTTTTGTTAATTTAGGACAAAGAGACTAAGCGAAGAGTGTTGAGTTTGCCTAGAACTAGGATATGTATAAGGAGAATGGAAGAGATGTGACATCTCAAAATTTTGTAATTGGTAATCTTTAATTTGACGAATTGGAGGCCGATAGACGACTAATACTAATGTTTACTTTTTGGTGTTATGAAAATAACAAGAGATTAGGTGAAAAATGAGAGTTACTTAAACTCCAAAGTCAAAATTGAGTTGGATGGAGGCTTATAAGTTGTGAAAGAGTGAGGAATGACTAAAAGTTGTGTGCTATATTTCATTAATTTTTAAAGTTCGGTATTTCTCGGTATTTCGGTATATACCGATCCCAATCCCGTAATCCCGAATACCGAATAGGACTCCAAAATGAATCCCAATCCCAATCCCTAAAAAATAAGTCGATATTCGATAATACCAAATAGTGATAAATTCGGTACGGTATTCGATATATCCCAAATACCGGTACCAAACTTCCAGCCCTAGTTGCGAGGCAGGGATTGGAGGATTTTTTCCCTCCTAACACTCGGCAGACAAAAAAGAAGAGGAGGAAATGTGAATTAAAAAGGGGTAAGGGGATGAACGGGTTTTTAGTGTTAGCGAGATGAATTTTTCATTTTTGCCTAATCAAAATAGGAGAAGTGTACTTATCAAAAAAAAAAAAAAAAAATAGGAGAAGTGTAATTAAAAGGAGTAAGGGGAACACGACATTTTATAAAGGCTGGGATGGCTAGTAGGTTTTTTAAATAAAATAATAATTTGATTTGTTATAGTTAATTAAAATGAAGAATATATACGTATATATTTTAATTAATTTATGAAAACAAATTTCTTGTTGTGTGAAGAAGGTTTATCAGTTACAATTGTCAGAGATGTATAAGAGGTTTCGAGTTAATTTTTTTTTTTGTAACGATGAGACCTGAGTCTCTAACAAAAAATAATCTGGCGGAGGCATCTCGGCTAACATACATCTCTAACAAATGGGTCCGCCCCTCCAACTGGATTGAATTATGAAGCGGTCTGCGGGTCGATTCCTGACTTGTGGTATAATGTGATCATCTAACGATATGTGGGTATATGCACCACTTACTATTTATTTTAGTCCCATTTTAAACTTTTTCCTTTGGGGCTCAGAGAATGCACCTCTAAAACCTAATTTTAACCGTATAATAATATATTTTGTCTTTAAAAATAGTGAAATTGATCTCTCTTGTCCGTAGACTAATGTATTAGATGCTATCTCTGTTTATAATAGACACCAACGTCCATTATTCATTCCATTAAACATGTATTTGTTAGAATTCCCTATATATTTTTGTTTTGGTTGTGAATCGAACCAAACTAATTAATTAATTGTTCATTCTAATGATATTGTATAAACTCACATGGATTTTCGCGTTCATCCGGCTGAGTAGACTTGGAAGACGAATTCGAAATCATTATAATTATTATTATGATATAATTTTACTAGAAAAACGAGAAGGGGAAAATTGCAAACTGCATCTTCACTTGGATTACTACTATTGTTTTTTTGCTGAATCGTTCCCATGTGCAAGAAGGCAGAAACGCAGAGCATGAAAACAGAGGGCCACAAAACCATTGGTTTTATTTATTGCGCGCCGGAATTTGGTCAACAGAGGAAGGGAGGAGAACGCCGAACATAAATTTTGCAGTGAGATATACGCCCATGTTGAAGAAGAAGAAGAAGAAAGGGTTAGTAAAGCCAAAGGGTATTCCATTAATTCGGCACTATCTAAACAAATATTGAGCCGATTTGGCACATGTATAAATCAGAGGGTTTCTAATATTAATTCAAAAATGGATTTCAGAATACTCTTTTTCTTTTTGGCTTCCACCGCTCACTAAATATGATCGACTGATCTAACGATATATTTTCAATGATTTTCTAGTGACAAATCCTTTTAAGTGGCGAGAATGAACTCCAATCACCGTTATTGCTACTCATTTGGAACTATAACACTTGGCTTGACAACTTTGATTTAGAACTACAACTTGACTTGATAGCGGTGATTGCTTTGTTATTGGCTGGACGATGAGCATGCTCAATAGTATACCAATTTTTTGCCCCAATGTTGTAGTCTCTTTAAACGAAACTGTGGACACTCCTTCCTTTCATCGTCTTAGTGGCCACTTCATAAACAAATTGATAGAAGTTGGTATACCTGCTTTGCTTGAGTAATCGAATGAAAATACATCGTGTTTTAGTCATTCTCACAAAACCAACAGATCTTTCTGCTTTTAGGACAACTCCTCCGAATTTAGGGTTTTTAATAAGTCATTTACAGTTTTATTCGTCGGAACGTGTAAAATGTATGTTTACAATTCCATTCAATCAAAATCCAAATATGTGAGAAATACAACAACAAAGAATATAGATTAGAGAATTATCATTTTCATTTCACTTGAATGATTGAGAACTCCCAAATACAAAGTTCCTTAAAAGAGAACAAAAGAGCTCTTACAATAGAAAAACAAATAGTGACAAGATAAAAAAAAAGGTGCAAAACCAACCAGCCTCATCTTCCTTTGTTCATAAAAAAAGGAAAGGAAAAACAGAGGGCCCAAAATATGTGCACTTCTTGGGCTTTTTTTCTTTTTCTTTAGGAGAGGGCTAATTACTTAAGCTGCTGCAGCTCTTCCTTTCTTTTCCCTATAGTTATTTCTACACCCATAACACAAGTAAAAAAAAGAAGAGAGGTTGTGGAACTATCCTGTTCCAACTGACCACCAAAAGCTCTAAAATAAGAAGAAAAGGAAAAAAAAAAGCTTTTTTTCCTCAGAAATGGGAAATGCATCTCCTGTGCTTGGCAGCCATTGTCTTCTTCTTCTGTTTGGTCTCTTCTTTCCAGTTCTTGGCAACATCCATTGCCACACTAATGGCATCCAGAGATGCACCTGAGAGCCCTTTCCTTGTGAACCCAACTGCATACAGCCCTGCTTTCCCTTTCCACCCATTTGGGAATGGATCCTTTGGAATCCCATCTTCTGAGAAGAAATCATTCTCCTGGAAAAACAACAAACCCAGAAAGTTAATACACCTTAAAATAGTAAAAACAATGGCTTTTATGTTTCTTTCCATGAAAGGGACCAGTCTGTGTCAGAACAACCCAAAAGGGGAAAGAAGGAAAGAAAGAAAAGAAACCAACATCCTACTGTCAAAAGCTTTTCTGGTTTCTTCTTTTAATGTATGCCTAAGTGGCAAAGGTGGTGTGGTACAATGACACCCAGAAACAACCAAACAATTAGCACAACATATTCCCTTTTTCCATTCCCTCCCATCTTCTTTTCACTCCAAACCACCAACCACAGGGATTCCTGCAAGTTGGGAGGTTTCATTTCTATTGAAATTGAACTCTTGTATAAAATAAACCCCTGGCAGGCTGTCTGAGATAGTGGGAAAATTTTGAATCTAATAATACCCTGAAAGTAACTGTTTCATGTGCTGTTAAGTCAAGAAAACTTGTGGAACATTAGAATTCCTTCTCCTGATCTGAATAAGACAAAGAACCCATGATCCGACCCCGCAGATTTCATTCCTTGTTTTTGTTCCCTTTTGGGTAAAGTCCAAACCCCAACTGTCACATGAAACCTGGAAACTGAAACGAATAGAAAAAAAATGAGAGGAGGGTTCACCTTAAGCCATGAAGGAACATTGCTGCGATACCCAGTTGCCAGAATCACGGAATCGATCTCCAGAATCTGGCCATCGACAAGCTCCACTTTCCCGCTGCTGAACTTGTTGATCCCAGGGACAACCTTAATCTCACCAGATCGCACTTTCGCCAGCGCCCCAATGTCCAAAACTGGAGTCTTTCCTTCCACGTTCTTGAGCTCCAATGGCCCAAGGCTGGGCCTTTTTAGTCCATACTTCTCCAGATTCCCCTGCATCAGCCTGGCAATACCCAGAAGTACTCTGTCCACCATCCTCAGAGACATCCATTTCATCAGGGTTACTGCCAGCTCGAAGGTCGATCTCCCGAAAATCTCCCTTGGCAATACATGAACCTGTAGAATGGCAAGTCATAAAGCAAAAGCCTTGATCAGAGAAGCTTCTTAAGAAAACAGAGGAAAGAAAACAGAGGGAAAAAACAGGGGAGGGTTTAGAGCAATGGGGCTCACCGAGCTTCTGACCACCATTGTCGGGCTGGCATTGTGGTTGCATAGATCGAGGGACACTTCCATGCCGGAATTCCCACACCCGACGACAAGAACACGCTTCCCGCGGTAACCCTCGCCGGATTTGTAGTCGCAAGCGTGGCTGACATGGCCGGAAAATTTCTCCAACCCTTGGAACTCCGGCACCACTTTCTCAGCGTTCTCTCCGGTGGCCACCACCAGCCACCGGCAGATGTACTCGAGCTCCATCGGAATAGGCCCGCTGTTGGAAACGGTCTTCACCCGCCACAGTCCAAACGTCTCGTCGTATTTGGCGGATTGGACGGTCTCGTTGAAATTGGGGGTGATTTCGAAATGCTTGGCGTAGGCCTCCAGGTAAGTGATGAACTGGAACTTGGAAGGGTACTCTGGAAAGTCTTCGGGGAAAGGGAAATTGGGTAGCTGACAGAATTGCTTGGGGAGGTGAAGTTTGAGGCGATCGTAGGTTCTGTTTTGCCACAGAGAGGCAATGCAGTTGGCCCGCTCGAGGACGATGAAAGGGACGCCTTCTCTTTTCAGGCAGGATCCGACGGCAAGGCCGGAAGGCCCGGCGCCGACGATGACGGGCCCGTTGACCCATATGCAGCGGCGGGAAGATGAGAAGAAGAAATCTTCGCGGCCGGAAGTTGGAAACATGGTGGGTAAGTCGGTGTCGAGACAAGTGGCGGTGAACATCTTTAGGTAGAGAAACAGGGGATTGAGAAGAAAAGTGTTTGATGAAACGACTGAATGAGAAATGAAGAGAGTTTATTATCTGTTGTTGTTGTTGTTTCTTTGGAGTTGTGGCGTGGAGAGGAAGAAGGGATGGGAGGAGGGTTTAAATAGAGGAACAAGGAGAAAGGGGTTTGGATTGGTCATAATGGCTTCTGAGAAGTGGCACATGCTATGGGGAAGAAAGAATGGCTTCTTTCATGGCCAAATGATAAGCTTCTGGGGTGGCCGCCTTTTGTTTTTGTTAAATTAAAATGGGTTTGGGGGTTTGTGAATTTTCTTTCTTCAATGTTTATTGTTTATGGTTTTTTTTTATAGGAGTTTATTGTTTATGGTTGAGTCATATTCTTTCAACACATATATTAGTTGTATTTTGAAATTGGGTATTCTGAGGTCGACCTCAGGGGACTCTGTTTGTGCCTCTGTTCCCCAAATCAGGTCTGCAATGTATCATATGGCTTGCCATCAGGCATCAATTTTCAGTTTTTATGTGAGTTTTGAGGAGCAACTCAATGTTGATTAGGCGTCATTGAGGTAATAATGTGATCGTGATGCTTTCTCCGTTGTTTTTTATCAGGAGAAGGCGTTTTTCGTCTGACTTGCATCTAGACAAGGTTAGACGAGTTCCTAGGACGCTTTTTAGAACCATATTAAATATTAATAGAAAAAATATCTAATTTATATAAAAAGTGTATGACAATATAAGAAATCACATATAAGGAATAAGATAACATAATTGTACTATAAGTGTTGTTATAGTGTTAACACAATTACACAAACAATGGTATAAATTTATCTCCTATATTTTAGATATTTTATTCCCGATTTTTTTAATAGACCACATGTCTTATAATTGTCATTCTGAGCATGCGATTCATGTCAAAAAGGTATCAATTGTTGCTTATGAGATTATGAACAAGAAGCACATGAATTAGAAAAAAAATCATTCCAAATTTGCTTTAATTCGAAGGATTTAGGATTTAGGATTAGGGTTTAGGTTTACAATTTGGGATTTCGGGTTGGGATTCAAAATTGAAGGTTAAGGGGTTAGGGTAATAGATTGATTTGTTATGATTCTATGTCATATCATCATATTAGATTGAGTTCACTCGGGGTAACGTAGAAGGCACCATATATCTGAAAAATTCATGCAATATTTATATGCATTTCATTGTTAGTGCCTAGTGGCATGCATTTAGGAAATACTGGTATCTATATCTTAGTCGTTTGGTTTTGGTGATAGTTTGGTTGGGATCAAGGTTGTCAACCCGCGGGTCGACCCAGTTTGACCCTGACCCGATGAGAAAAACGGGCCGCACGCACCCGCCGGGCCGACCGCTATAAGGTACCGGGTTGGAGGTCAAATTGTGTCATTTTTTCCTTTGATTTGCGAAATGCGCCTATTTTCCGATTTTTCTTTTCGCCCAACTCAATCTTTGGAATCCTAAGTTGAACATCTGAATATTTATGTTATATAAGTGTGTGTGAATTTTCATTATATGTTGGATCTAAGTACGATATGTTATTTTGGTGTAATATTATATGTTATAACTCATATGTTAGATAAGATTTGATATAATTTATGAGAATAAGTACAATATAATGACTTTTTCCATATTTCCGGGCCAAACCGGGCTAAAACGGTTGACCCATTAACCCTTGACCCACTAGCTCGACCGGGTCCGGGTCAACCCGCGGGTTGACAACCTTGGTTGGGATAGTTAAAATGCATGTAATGTCCACAATGCATCATTTTTTTGAATTTTCTGCGCAAACAATACATGCATTGTTTGCTTGATTTGACACAAACTATCACTCAAAATGAGTGATAGTTAAATCTCAAGTTTTCGTTGAGATTGTTGAAATTGTTTGATGGAGATTGTTGTGTTTTCTTCTTCTTCCAAATATGTCCCTACCTTTTTATGTGTGTTGCTTTTTTACATTAAAAACAAAGGGTAAAAGTGGCATTTCAGCCAAAAAGTGATATAATTTATTTAAATACTACAATAAGTATCACAGAAACCAAACGATGTAAACTACAATACACAAATTTTCTTATATACATGTATATTACTATGTATGCATTGATGACAATACATCGATTTAACTATCAACAAAACCAAACGACATTTTTGCCTTTATGCTATGCTTTATGAGATTCATGACATCTATTTTAGTGTGTCTGGTTTGCATTCTATTGTTTCTAATATGCTTTTGGAGATTTCATGTTTGCATTCTAGTGTTTCTAGTATATATTTATGTTTCTGGTATGCATTCCTTTATTTTCTAATGTGCAATTACTTAATTAAAATATGATTCTAACAACCGGATACTGAAAAGCCAAAAATTAAAGAAAATACTTTAAAACATAGAATTAATTCAAAAATGATTTTTTTAAGTATGTATTTTATCCCTATTAATTTCTCTTTTTATATTGCTTTCTATTAGTGTTAACACTATAATACTATCTGTCCCTTATATAATAGTACTCACAATTTACTTAATACTAATCATACTATTTAGGGTTAATTCTACCAAAAAGCCCAAATATCATAAAAGTGTCACTTCTGTACTAAACCATTCAATATGACAAATCTGGCACTTTATGCGTTGCATGATAATTGTGTCCTAAACTTATTTAATAGGACAAATCTGGCACAAACCACATAGATGTTGACTAGATTTTCCGATAAATACTAATGGTCTACATCTACGCCAGTCAATATTAGCGAAAAAAATATTTCATGCCAGATTTATCATATTGAATAGTTTAGAACACAAATGACACTTTTTGAATAATTTGAACTTTTTAGTGGAATTAGCCCTACTATTTATTTTCAATAAACAAGACGACTTTGACAAAAAATCTCTTTGCATCAAATTCATCACCATCATGTTTCATGTGGGCATGGTTGGTCATCATCTTGATTGATGCATATTCTGGACTTTTTAGTAGTTTTGAGTCGGTTTTGTTTTGTTTTTCAAACTATTGATAAGCAATTATCATTATTTAGGAAGTTTTAGAGTATGATTACTATTAAGTAAGGGGTGAGATAGCGTCACTTCCCTTAAAGGGATTGTAAGATTTACAACCAAATGCAATTTGGATATGATAAAAAAATAAATATGTTAATTAATTTTTTTATTATGAATTACACATTGAGAATTGATAACCCATCATAATTTTTGAAATATAAATTCTAAAAGAATATATATTTATATCTCTCTCTATCTCTCTCTTCCTTTTCCAACAGTCACTCCGCTTCGGTGAAATCCTTCCGGCAGAATTTCTCCTGCGAAATCTCTACGACAACCTGCAAAAATTACCAGTGCATTAAAAAATGTACCAGTCCATTAGTCGGTAGCAATTTTTTCTAGTGGTACGCTACCACTACCATCAGGTAGTTGGTAGTGTACCACTATCATTTGGTACCAGCTACCAAATTTTAGTGGTAATAGATGATAGTGGTACGCTACCACTAAGATATAGGCGCTACCAGATGGTAGTGGTAGCTTACCACTACCAGCTACTAGATGGTAGTGGTACGCTACTACTACCAGCTACCATATGGTAGTGGTAGAGTACCAACCAAATCAGTACCACTAGTATAAAAAACCATATATGAAATTTGAAAATCCTAGATATGAAAAAATAGGGGGATGATGAAAGGGGGAGTCGGTGACCTTGCGGCAGGGATCTCGCATCGTCAACCATGTGGCGGTGGTGGTGAGAGGTCGAGGATGGGCGTGGCCAAGGCGACGGCTCCACCGCCGGAGGGACAGCGATGCGAGAGGAAGAGGAGGCTGGCGGTGGGAGAGAAGGGGCAACACGACAGCGATGGGCAAATATCTCTTGCTGTCGGGAGGAAGCCATCGGTGGGAGAGAGGGGGCGACGCGACAACAATGGTGGTGGCAGTGATCGCAGTGGGATGATGGCGACCGACGGTGATGGAGCTCTTTGGCGGCTAGCATTTTTTGTTAGAGATATGGCGAGAGGAGGAGGAGGAGGGAGACGTAGGGAATGAGATCTGGGGTATTTTTTTTAATGAAGGATATTTATATGGAAAATGGAAAGGATTTCATGTGGTAAGTTTTTCATTCCAAAATTAACTCTAGTTTAATCTGTACCACAGTACCACTAATTTAAAAAGAGGGAAAAAAGAGAAGGAACTGGAAGGCTAACATGTGAGTTGCCATTTTCACAACCTTCAAAATGGAAGTGACCGTATCTCACCACATAAGTAAGTATTGTTAGAGAGTGGTATAAGATCAAAGATAACTTTCTCCAACAACTCGAGTTATTGGGACCAGTTGGTTTATGACATGGTATAAGAGTTGGTTTGGCCAAGTGGTCGTGTGTTCGAATCTCCACGACACACAATATTAACAGTTGATTAAAGCACAAGGTATATGGTGATCGCCTGTGAAAACTTCAAGCCCATGAGTCGGCTTTCGTTTGAGGGGGCGTGTTAGAGTTCATTTACATGTGTATTTTTTTTATGGAATTCTGCAATTTAAATGTGTTATTAAATTGCCGAATAACATTTTTTTTAATAATAATTTAATCCATTCAAGCCCAAAGGAGGCAGAGTAGCTACAACATGCTGGAAATTACAACCAAAACAGAAAGCCAACTGGCATGAAGGGTATCTTGGCTATAGTTGCGAGTGAACCAATCAGCTTCTTTGTTGTTCTCTCTACTAGTGAAGGAGATATGGATCCAAGGAGATATGCAAACGATGTTGGTGATAGAAGAGAGAGCAGCATAACAACGCCATGGTCAAGATGCATGACTGTTGTGAATGGCATCCACCAATGTCTTGCAGTCTGAATGCATCGACGAGGGAACACAGTCACTGGTTGCAATAAGGCATGCTTCAAGAATGGCTGTAGCTTCCGCTTTAATTGGGGAAGAGCAAATGATCCTTCCAGCCTTACCATCGTAAATCTGTCCGTTGGAGTC